GCTGTTCGTTGTCACACGGCTCTCCCATGCTTCTGGAATTTCAATTCCACCGTCCCTATCGATGTTAACAGAGTGAAGTCTTATGTAAATTGCCTCTTTGACCCTTCATGTGTAGTGATGAGGATCACGATCAATGAACTTAACTTCGTTCCAGAGTGGCTGATGTCCGGTGTTGAGGTCGTGCTCTGAAACGGCGCAGATCTGGGTATGGGCTAATCGGATTTCTCGATCTTGCTCCTTAATTCAATTCTGCATGGGTCTTCCTGTCTCGCCGATTTAAACTTTACCGCAATCACAGGAAATCCTGCAAACTACGCCGTCTTGTTTAGCCGGTTTTTTTGCAAGAAGACACTTTGTATTGTGAATCACTACAACAATTTAACCTGCACACAAGCAGGGTAGATGCACCGTGATCAAGTGCTTATGGCGTGGACTTGTATTCCTTCCAGGCGAGAGTAATGGATGCTGCTGCCGAGGGTTTCTTGTGTTTCAAGTTAATAATGGTTATAGTACCGAGTGGAGTCCAATTCGGTTTGTAATCATACGAGTGATTGACAAAATCGGACGACCGCGAAGCGTTGTTTGACCAGCGTGCAACAAAAAGGCGAGGTTGCAAAGGAGCGACGTTCCTAGAACGTTCTTGACAAAGGAGCGATGTTCCGAGAACGTTGTTTGCAATTCCAGTCAAGCTAGCTCTGACTTTAAAATAGATTCAAACACATCGATCTTTCCGGTTTGCTTTTATGTGATATATAATATGTCAAAAAGATCCATCAAAGATTTTTTCAATGTCATCCAAGACGAAAATAGTGGATCTAACGATGAAGAAGGTAAGCTGCTCGACCGTATTGCCAGGCCGTGCCGTGAAACCTCTACCCAAAAATATTGTGTATGATGATTTTACAGAAAATTCTCAAGAAGTGGCGGCACCCCACTCAAGATATTTCCCCAGAAGAATCTAGTACAAGACAGAATGGCCCTCTCTATCCTGAGAGTTTCACTGAAAGTGGCCAAGTGAAGGCACTCACTGACAGCGAGAAGGTTGCACTCTTGGAAGGAAGATGGAATAGCGCTGATTTGTTTGCATACAGCTTTCCTTTAAGGTTTGAATACAAGTTTTGAATGAAAGCATGTTGCTCCACGATTTGCCATGATATGAACTGGACTTGAATTCTTTAATGAAAACTGATAAGCTAATAGCGTCACTAAGCATGCTTAGAAAAATTTAGATATTGGCCTTTCTTGTGTATTTTAGAAACATTTCCGGAAAGAATAGAAAGATAAACCCCGACATCATTGCAAGAAAACCCTGGTTGAGATACAGCCCTTCGACAGACACCCTCTACTGTTGTTACTGTTTATTTTTCATCACCCATGATTGTTCTTTCCGTACTCGTGATTGATCCAATATTTCTAAACTAGTGAAGAAGTATGTCTACGAAAAAAGTGCTCATCACCCAGCAGTAGCTCGCGGGGAAGCGTTTCTGCTCACACAGCGAGGTGGTGCACCTAACATCTGTCAACAGCTTCACTCTCAAAGAGCGGAACAAGTTTAAAGGAATAGAAATTCGATGGCATAATTGACAATTGCAAGAGATCTGTCATTTATGCATTAATTGCTGATGAGTCGACTGATGTTACAAATAAAGAGAAAATTTCTATTCGTATATGTTTTGTTGGCAGGAAAGAAGACGGAAAACATCTCATAAGTGAAGAATTGTACAAGCAGATAAAGGAACCAATGCTGAGGATCTCACAACAAAATTTTAGAGACCATCCAGAGCGTCGGTCTTTCAGTGAATGATATGAGAGCCCAAGGATATGATGGCGCCAGTGCGATGAGTGGGCGCGTAAGTGGTGTGCAAACACGGATTCGTCGAGTAAATCCAAATGCTGTTTATGTCCATTGTCGACCTCACGTCTTAAACCTCTGTATTGTCCATGCATCAAAGCTTTCACTTGTGAGAAATATCATGGATACCATGCAAGAAGTTACGTTGGCCTTTAAGTTCTCTGCAAAACGTTTGTTGGTATTTAAAGAACAATTTGGAGACAATCCTGTTGCTAGAGAAGAAATGGGAAGACGCTCAAAGCTGAAGGTGCTTTGTGAAACACGCTGAGCCTCCCGAGCAGATTGCCTGGCAGTTTTCGTCGACGCTTTCAAGGTATTAATTGATATTAATAATCTGAATCAAAGCCCATCTTTTATGAGCTAAATACAATGGAACATTTTGCTTATCCATCAATGTTCATTTTAAACGCGTGAATTGCGCGCATGCGCAAGAGCGAGTTGTAGATATGATGTGGAGAATGGCACTCGCTCGCTCGCTCGATTGGTCGATTCCTGTAAACTTTTTTTTGATTTTAGGCTTTTGAGTGCATTTGATAGTTATTGGCGAGTAATAAACAAACGAAATGGCGACCTTTGTTGCTAAGAATTGTGGTGGGGTGAAAAAGAAGCCAAGATAATCTTGAAAGAGTTTATTTTTTTTCGTTTTAGTTTCAACAAGCGGCGCCGGCGACTCGCAGGCGTGCGAGGATTCACACTGAAATAATAGAACAACCTTCGTTTTTCATAAAATTGTAATTTACAATCCTTGAACTTGAAAACAATCCGAAGATTCATTAAAAATATCACTTACTCCGAAGTGCTCGGAGTTTACAGGTATTCAAAAGCTTTTTCTGTAATGGTGTGAGATAGGCATAGGCAACATTTATGTCAAAGCTTTGCTCAATCCCCTTCTGTACGGCAACTGTCTTTATTTCAGTAAAGGATATAACGTGGTTTTTGAATTCGTTTAGGTCTTTATGACAAACTTGGAAAAATTTTGTGTACCACCAACTAGAACACAAAATTTTTCCTTGTGTACTGGCTCATTTCTTACATTACCATCTTCTCGGGCGGCATAAAATGACACCAAAACTCTATAGTCTTAAATCTTTTCAGCCGTTTGGGTCGACATTTTTTCAGATCTTTCATTCGATGGATTCGGTTATTATCTGGTCTTTCTAGGTACGATCTGACGCACTACCACGATTAGGCAGTCGACAAAAATAACACTGAAGATCATAGTCCTTGTCCAAATGCAACTATATTAACTTATGCCTACTGCGTTACGATTGTTTAGACCTACCACGAAGATCAAAGACATCAAGGTCAAGCATAGGTCAGCAAAGAACGGAAAAGACCAGGAAACAGTAACACGACTGCCACGGTTTAATGATCTTCGTTAAGACCCTATTTACCTTGAATGATTGGTATCCTTCACTTATCATGGAATTCTAATAAGAATTCTTGTAAATCACGCATTACGGGCTTGTAAACTAGCAAATCACGCATCACGTTGTGATGTCCGGTCCCACGTCACGCGGATAATTTGGGTTCAATCACGCGTCACACTGCAAATTTTGGGGCCATCACGCATCACGCAAAAACCCTTTGCCACCCTCATTCAAGAGAATGTCATTAGTACCAGAAGCCTACTACTGGTATAAATTATCAATCTTTTGTCCCACAGAACTTGCCTCGACTAGCTTATGCTATATACAATTTGTGTCTACACCTTTTTTGCAACTGCAAAATTACCAATAAAGTTTTTGAAAGTTTTGTCCAAATTTCGATGGAAAAGAATACGAGGAGTGATCAGGTGAAATATTGTCATGTTCCTTAAGAGTATTTGAGCTTCCAGTGAGAGCTATAAAATTTCTTAAGTGACATTATAATTTCATGTTTTCAGATGTTTTGTAAGTTCCAGCTGCATGCAATGCTGCACAGGTTTCGTTTTATTTAATACACGACACCACAAGCTATTACTCAAAAAAATTTTAAGTATAGATTTGAAGGATGTGTTTTGTTGTGTCTTTTAGAGTCGAGGAGTACATTGCAAGTAGCAGGGACAAATTTATAGTTGACCCAGATCTAAACCAAATTTATACTAAACGCAAGGCTAGGGAATATTCTATTTCGCTTCCTGGTCCTTCATCTCAGAATGACGCGGCTCCCCGAGTAAAATACCTAACTACTGGCTGGGGAAAAGCTCTGGAGAAATTGCCACTGTTCACAAAGGCTGAAATGAAAAAGCAGGCAGAAAATTCTGGTAAAAGAATTGGAAATGCTGAACACCATTCTGTTCCAACAAGCCTTAAACGTGCAAAAAACATTTCTCCAAGATGGATATTTAAAGGAACTTGAAGCAGCTGGTGATCAAGATGATTTCTATTTTAAATGCAAATGCTATCACAGCTACAAGAAACATGAAGCACCTCATGCCATACAGGTAGTCCTTTGCATCATATCTGGCCAAGTGATAGATGCCACTTGTACATGTGCTGCGGGTAAAGTGGGTTATTGTAATCACACATTAGCCCTCATGTTAAAAATTTGCAAATATTAATTATTTGAAAGCAAAATAACTGAAGACCTCCAGGATGAATGTGATGAAAATCCATCTTTAGCATGCACCTCAGAGTTACAAAGTAGGCACAGGAGAGGTTGGGGTGATTCAATCCATCCACGACCTGTTATGGATGTCATAGCGACAAAAGTTAAGCCTGATGATGAGAAGTCTGCCAAAGGCATTAGATGCCAGCTATATGAGGCCCATAAAATACCCCAACACAGCATTGAAGAAGAAGAAAAATTTAAAACAGCTATAGCTTCAATTAATCCCAAAATGGGAATTGCTACTCTTCTCTCAAATCCAGTTAGTGAAATGGTTCAAACAAAGTTTGGTAGCAGTCCTGTGGGCTCTACAAACAGCTATCAGTTGTTGTATACTGAGGCCAACTTTTGGGTAAACATCAATATCAATAGTGTTCTCCTCTTTAGCAGTCAATGTTCTGGGCCTCCCTGGCCCAACAACAAGTTCGGGTTCCCTTTCATGATACTCAGGATCAACGTCCTTGGGAACTGAACGCCAAAATCTGATATTTTCTGCATTTTCACCCGAGTTCAAGCAGGTGAATGTTGCCATGAAAACGTCATACGATGGAAATCCTGTCTAAAATGCAATTTTCTCTTCAGAAATAAAGTTATTCAATGCAAACATTCTGTTTTCCAAGTTTTGACACTTCTCTGAAAGTTTGAATGCGTGATTCCTAAGTTTCTCCACCTCAGCTTCGAGTTTTATTTTACTTTCCCACGTTTCCTCGAGCAACTTTTCAGTTTCAGCCAGCTTTCTCTGGAGATCTTGGTAAGATAGCTGGTTGCTACCCACGTTGCTACTGTTAAAATTTATAGGGCTATCATTTTCCACGGAAAAAGTGAAATCGTTCACTGCATTCACATCCGTACTCACAGTTTCTGAGGAGGGACCTGGAACAGCACTCATGTTAAGCGATGTCCTGGCTTTGACAGCACGAATCTTTTCTGGATTTGAAGGGGGACGCTCTGATCTTTGACGGCGGTCTCTTTCGAGGTGAACTCCTTTCCATGCGAAAACGGAAGGAACTGCCCCGTAAAAATAATTCAGTCGTCCAATTCCTAAACTCATCTTGAGGTGTTCTCGTTTAAAATGTAGAGAACACACTTTTGTAGTATCTGTGGTGAAATGTTTGCCCGTGTCTCTTCGAATCGCATGCAGCCATTGATCCCGCGCAGGCTGATCGGTCGGGAGATTAAAAAATCCAACTTTTTCACCGTTTGGACTGGTTGAACCTTTTTGATCGCAACGTGGAACACAGCAATACCGATTCTGTGGCGATTTTGCTTCCGCCATGACGGTACAATCGCGAAATAAATTACACTACACGTTCTCCTGTAAAGATTAGTTTTGTCTTGCAAATTTCCCACCCTCATCCGCCTCGTTTTCATGTTCTCGTACCGAGGCTTCCCCGAGGCATTCGTCATTATGAATTCGGTGTAGTCTCATTTCAATCTCCCTTATCGGATTGGTTTATCTTTGCTTAACAAGCGGGAGACTGGTTCATGATCGAATTGATGACAACGATTGAGCACCAACGATTGAGTTTTACCACAAGTGATTGATATTTTATTTTGAACGATTGAGTTGTATCACTAGCGATTATTACTATCGATTGATATTTTTGTCACAAATGGCTCCCCATAAAGAATCGTGTGGTACGGATGATGTTTGTGAGTTTGCTCCTGAGCCCGTTGTTAGGTCGTATGATAGCCAGGCAAAGAGGAAGTGCCGATCCGACGTAATCTCACATGCCATCAGGTGTCTAACAACAGAAAGACACACATCTGCTTGTGTCCAACGAGGTCACGTTAGACGAGTCTGGCAGCAATTGCAAGAGAGTGGAGAGAGCCAAGCATACTATAATCCAGGAGAAATCGAGTCCATAGAAGCTGAGATTTCGCAATGGGAGATTCTTCACGAAAGCAAGATACAAAGCAGGAAACCTTCAGACCTTAATGTATGTTATCTCGGAGGGAACAATCCTATCAACGATCTTGAGGTTCTTGTGGACAGTGGCGTCCTCCCACAGAATGTCTGGGCAGTGGAGAATGATACTAAAACATTCGAGAGTGCACGGGAAGCCATCCGTAGATCGAGGTTTAGAAATGTCCGATTGTTTAAAGGTGACATCCTTAAGTTTTTGAAAGACTATGAGGGTAACTTTGACATTATTTACTTTGATGCCTGCGGTACACTTCCGTCGGCTAACCAGAGTACTCTTAAGTTTATCGGATATGTCTTTCGGTATAATAAGCTGACATCTCCAGGAGCCTTGATCACAAATTTTTCATTCCCCCCTAAGAGTGAACCAACAGAATGTGACGAAGAAGCAGAACAACCCTCAAGTATTTTACGGGAAAGCGATCAAATAAGAAAATTAGTGACAGAGTATTTAAAGTACAGGCTTGATAATACATGGATGAACAATGGCTCTCCAGAAGGGAATGCTGAACGTCTTGGTCAAAGGACTGACGAAGAAAACTATGGTGATTACATCACCTATCAAGTAATTGACTCCGCTTATTTGTATATCCCTGCCTTAAGAATGCTCTCATCCACAAGATCAGGTCAGTCAAGCCCGTTATGGGATCAAATGTTTAAAAGTAAAAAGAACTTTCACAATTTCCTCAAAGAATGTAGGAAATTTTTTCAGGCAGTGAGTGAATCAAGTCCTGACAGTGAATCTTCAATTGGAGAAAAATCTTGTTCATTTAGTGAAACTGCTAGTCCTGACAGCAAATTTTCAGTTGAAGAGCAATCTTGTTCAGTAAGTGAAACTGCCAGTGAAGTGACTGATGTTAACAAATTACTCAGTGCATCTGCAGCCAGTGAATCAAATGCAGGGCGTGATTCTTCCAATGAAGTGTTTTTAACACTGAAAGATGCATCCAAAGCCTCTCCTTTGTGGAAGTGTGGTTTTGCTCTGGAAGAAGAAATGCAAAACAATGACCTTTGCAAAGCCTGGGTTACCGAGATTTTACCAGACTGGCAATCAACATCCAACTTGAAAACTGAGAAACTCCCACTTTTGCTTTTGACTCATCTTCTCTCTCATTTTGATTTTTTTATCTCTACATTTACTAATGACAACTTTCAAGAGAAATGCATTGAATCTCTGTATGATGCCCTTCATTCTGACAATGATCATATATCTTCCAGATTTTGCAATCATAAAGTGGTATTTCCCAAATTTTACAATGTAGTAGATCTAAGTAATACAAGAAGTTTGGTTGCTGGCCTACTGTATGGCCAGATGGCCTACCCATCATTTCCTGTAGTGGATAAGATGCTACGACTTTGCTACACTGGAAATACAGAAGAAGGCAGACTTAGAAGGCAGATGTTCACTGATGTTTTCATTTTTGACCAGTGTCGGTATGTTTATCAGCAATTTCCCTCCATTGATTGTGCTTGCTTTGCCATTACAGAACCAGAACAGCAAATGGTGTTCAGAATGGTTGTGGATGGCTTAAGAAAGCACTTGGAAGACATTTGCTTTAAAGATGTCTTTCCATCTTGTCATGTTGCTAGTATAGATCCCATACCAACGGGAGAGATTGGTTTCCCTAATAGTAGGCCTAAGATTCCCAAAAGGAAAGAGGTGAACTAAGGTTGATGAAGGTTGCAGCTAAGAAAAACAAAGCATGGGTAATTTGTGCATATATCAGTAGCATTGCAACAATTGTACTCTTTTTTGATCAAAAACAAAAAGAGGTTTTGTTTCCCATACCAATTGCCCTTTTTTAAGCAATGTAACTCTGTTAACTATTTTTCTTTGTGGGTGGTGATTAATGTTTTTCTTTCAGCTTAAAATGAAAGGGATTTAAACTGAATTTCTTAATATTATGGTTAAGAAAAAAACCTCCCTGTTATTCTGTGAAGGTCCATCTTAAGGGGAAGACACCAAAATGCTATTTTTAAGCAAAAGATGGTTAAACTTGGGTCTTATTCAGTTTCAAAATATCAGGTGTCTGTCTACAATGTGCTCTCAACTGAAGCACATTGTATTAATATTACTTAGGTTAAAGACCATGTCTTCAAGCACTTAAGAGGGTAGTGGTTCTAAGCTGCAGGATTATTCTACCCCAAAAAATAGTTAATTGCTCCCTTTGTGATCAGGAAAAGTTTTAGAGAAGCTAAGCAACCCAAATTTGGTTCTGCAAGTCATATAATTTGAGTGTTTTGTGTCTGAATACATCACAATTTTATGCATATTGCTAGATGTAAGTGCCCAAAACAGATACCTTATTCACTAGAAAAGGCACTGCTGCACTTAGTGAATTTTTTACACCCCAAGTGCAGCACTTTCTTGAGGGTGCCACTTATTTGAAAAGTTTGATGCAACAAAGAAATTTTCTCTTTTAACCCTTTACACCCTCACATCAGTATCCATATTCTCCATACTTATCTCCAAATGTTTCCATTGGTCTGGATAAGGAGAATTTGTTTTACTATCAAAGCTTCTCAGGTTGGCAATCATTTCCTTTATTCTTGTGATATTAATGAATGATTCAGCAGTATTACTGCAAGGAGAATTTGGATGCTGGTCACTCTTAAGGTTTAAAGGGTTAATTTAACAGACTGTTAAGTTAAAAGAGAATTAAAAAATAAAAATATTTACACTGAGCATATATTTTTTTATCTGTACAAAAACGTTCTAGTGCTTTTTGCAACAAAAATTGAAATTCTGAAAGAAATTGCCATGGTAAACAAATCTATTGGCAGGTTTCAAAATGAGCAGGGAAACTTCTTTTAGACTTGAAGCCAAAAGTTTTTCAAATGCTTGATATTGCCTGGCATTTTACATTGTGTTCACCTGTATTGAACACAAAAATTTTTAAATGATAGGTTTCAAGTGCATAGATGTCTTGTGTGAAGCCAATTTCATTTTCTTATTTAGTTTTGGCATTATTTTGATTACTACTATTTTTACTTTTATTCTGTCACTTTTGTAAACAATTCTGGTATTGAAATTTTACAAAATACTTAAACTTGTGATGCAACTAAGTATTTAGATAATTGTGAGCAAGTTAATTAACAGTAGGTTTTGGGAAGTAATGTGTGTCGGCCAGTGTGTAAATAAACTAGTTGTATGTACATGTTTGGTATCAAGTGTTAGCATTGTAAATAAAACTATTTTTACAACTTACCCTTGTTAGGTAAGTTATGTTATTAATGCAATTTGTTAGTGTATATAAGAAAGTGTATATGTCATAATTGGTGAGTGAGTTAGTGATTGGTAATCACCTGTTTTTTTTTTTCAAAAATAAATAAAAATAGCAATAATATCTTATGTAGAGAGAAAATTGTAAGCAGAATTCCATTATATGTAATTTAGTATAAGTAATCTATTATAGATAGAGCAAACAATTGAATTGTTTTTATATAACTTATGTAACATAATTAGTATATTCTAAACCAGGTATTGTTAATCAGTATAATTATAAGCATCATTTTGTAATTTATAGATTGTAAGAGGTTTATTTTAAGTAACATTCTGTAATCATTGTGTTGTAAATAAATAGTTTATTGTTTGTGTATCGTAGTGTTCCTGATTTTTAGAAGTATGGATGAAAAATTCAAAGAAAGTAACACTGGCATCTTTTGATTGTCACTTTTTTTTCTCTTCTGCAATTTTCAATTTCATTACCAGTAGTGACTCTTCTTTCAACTCTGATCTCACTTTTTTATCAAGTTTACGCGCTCAAGGGTGAGCTTGGTACCCCTTTTCTTCATCTGAATTGGTGCATTTGAAATTATAGTAATATAGTAAAAAATCTTTATAGAGGAAGCTCCCGTCACTTTATGTGGTTTTTGGGGAGGTTCAGTGCGGCCAGAAAGATGTAACTATTACACTGTAAAACTTACAAAACTATAGGTACTAAAATTCTAACATTATAATAAGGGGAAATGAGTTAAGAGAAGTTTGACATCTAAGTACTAAATAATATTGAAAGTGGAAGTTAAATGGGAATTACTTTAAAAATTTAAATCTATTAAGTAATAACATTCTAAAAGAGTTGAGAGGTAACTTTTTTATGTCCATAGGCAGGGTATTCCAATCAGGTAAAGCACTATTTACTGATCTGAGCAAACTCCAGCTATTACTTGATTTAATGACCCAAATAGTGTCCTTTGAGCGGGTGTTATGACTATCATGGTAATCTAGTATTTCATAATCATACTGTTTCTGTTGTTATCATTTATTAAGTTATACATTAAAAAGCAGCGTAGCATTTGTGTTCTGATCGGAAAATTCAGCCAGTTCAGATCTGAAAGTGCTTCATTCGAAGAAAAATTTGGAGCCTTAATCCAGAACCAACTTGGCTTCCTTATTTTAGGGTTTGCACTTATGTGAGTGATATGGTAATTAACAAATATTAGAGGAGATTTATCATGATTTGTTAACGCCAAGCAGATGTATTATTTGCTGAGGCAAAACATTTTGGCAAGTATATAAATTTTTGATCTGCATGATCATCACTGAGATCGCATTACTCTGAAGTACACAAGTTCGATGATTGTGTTTCAATGGAATGTCCGAGTTTGCTTCTCTTAATAACTTTTGCGAGTCACTTTGACAGCCAAGAGGAAAGATCTGCTATTTCACGGCCAAGGGTGTTAATCATGAGTAGATCATTAAATAGTGGACCCCCAGACAAGAAAGGAAGGAATAACTCAGCGAATGTTTCATCATCATAATAAAGAAACATTAAATTGTTTACGGCTGCTATGTGTTTGTCTATCTATAGCCCTTCCGTCAAAGTCCTCTATGTTAGATGATCAATTGAATGCTGAATTTTTTATACAAAGATCGACTCGAAGTCTTTTCGACAGTTTGACATATAAACTGTCTTTTTATCTGGGTGGTAAACAGTTGAACTGCCTCCTGTACCTAAATATTGAAGTGCAGATTAAATCCTGTGAAATTCTGCCCCCTTCTCCATTCTACCGAAGAATGGTGGCGATTGTTAGAGATTGACACGCATCATGGAACTCCGCGCCTTTTTGGCTTTTTCTCTACTAGCCTTGAATATCGGATTTGTTGGAGTACGAGAAAAGCTAATCGCTGGGAATCGCACCGGGAAGGCATTTGCCAGCTTTCCTTCCCTTGTAAGCCTTTGGCAAGAAGAAAATTTCACCCTCGGCGCTCATCCTATAATTTTAACTTCGAGCCGGATTTGCATTAATTACTCAATAAGCACAAGACAATGGTCCTTTGTCATTTGGCACTATAGAACATAAGACAGACTACTGGAGTTAACAAAGCGAATTGTTCAACTTCAAAGATATCAGAACGAGCAGAAAGCAGACTTCTGGATCGTTCGAATTAGCGGAATAGAGGAACACAGAGTATAAGAATACGAGAAAGGTTAATCACTAGGAATTGCACCGGGAAAGCAGTTACTAGCTTTCTTTCCCTAGTAAACCTTTAGCAAGAAGAAAACTTCACTCTCGGCACTCATCCTATAATTTTAACCTCGAGCTGGATTTGCATTACTAACACAAGCACAGGACAGTGGTCCTTTTTTCATGTAACTTTAGATAAGAGAGACCTCGTTAGCAACAACATGGGAGCGGAAATTTTAGTTTTTAAGCCGTTTTTCAGTAGGCCGTGTTTCCACCACAGAAAGCCCAAACTATTGCGTAGTAGGTGTCTGTATTACTCAAACTCCTATGCGGCTCGAAAGTGGTGATATTGCCCCCAACCCCAGCCCCCCTCCGCGAAAATAAGCAGCTCCTTGATACTCCCAATGTGAGAAACCTGTGGCAAAAAACCACAAACAATGCATTTGCGCCACGTGCTTTGATGTAACTCATGCGAAGTGTTCAAAGGTTTTCAACCCAAAATATAAATCATCATCTACTCCAAAGGAATGGGTGTGTCCCAAATGTACGATCAGTGTTTTACCTTTTGATAAGCATGACTTATCACTTTCGGATACCAGCTGTATGAGCGAGCCTGAAGCTGAGGACCCAGACTTTGTTGATGAACACCTTCAAGTGTTTCAAGAGAGATCGCACCAGCTTCGAATATTCCACATTAACGCACAAAGCATGGCATCCTCGTTTGACAAGTTACTCGCTACAATCAAGGAGTACCATTTTGTCGTCGTGACTATGAGTGAGACATGGCTTAAAGATAATCCGCTCCTACTGTAGTATGTCACCATTCCTGGTTACACTTACGTTTTTCGCAACCGCAACAAGATCAGTAGAGGCGGCGGGGATGGGACATATTTGAGGGACGGCATAAGCTATAAAAGGCGTATTGACATCGAGAACATAGCCCAGATCTAAAACACTTATGGCTAGAAATCCCAGGCCGCAATAAGCATAGTAAAATGCTCGATCGAAACTTATTCAGGACTATCAAACGTGGCTAGACAAAGTGGAGAGATTGTTTGGCCACATGAATGTTCTTTGGAATGGTCTTATTATCGCTACCCGTGATGTTAACGTAAACATGCTTACGCCAATTAAACATTCCTAAACTTGGACATCGAGCTCTTTTTAGTGCAGCTTGGCCCGAATACCTTCAACCGCCTTGGCACAATTCCAAACGTACACTACGCTCTAGCAATGCGCCTTTGATATAAACTTCTCTAGTTAAGGATACTTTTCAGGACTCATTGGCGACTTTATTCAATGCCCTACCCGCAAGCATGAGGCAGTGTCCAGACTTTGTTACTTTAAAAAATAATTGTAGCACAATTCTCAAGAGCAGAGTAATCATGCGTTTAACCTTATAAGTTGTCTCGATAAGGTTTCTTAGTTATGGTAGTTTTTAACAGTTTTCAAGTGCTTTATGTAAATATTAAATGTGTCTTGTGTGCATTATGCATTATGTAAGTCGTTAGTTTTTAGTTAGTAGGACGGATGTAGGGCTACCACGTAGAAATACTGTCAATAAATCGTTATTATTATTATTATTCGTATTATTCCTTTAAAGACACAGTCTTAAAGAAGAGGTAGAAGCTACTGGGAGCCGGGAATGGGGAAGAAACCCTAGAGTTCTTGGGGTTTGCTTCCCATTTCCTCTAATCTTGACCCTGTTTCTGTCAAAACACACCAGTCTCTACACCTGTTGATTTTCTTTTCTCTCTCTCTCTTTTTTTTTTAGCCTGCTTCAGCATTTACATGAATATTGTAACTAAGCATGATGAGCTGTTTTGATTGGTCATGTGTTGTACTGACTTAATTTATGCATGGCTATGACGCATAATCAGTGGGTTTATTTGATTGCGAAGCCATCGACCTACGCCATTATATTTTCGACAACAGCGCTAGCTTAGTTGGGACGATGACAAAGTACAAGGAAGTCGATTACAAGGGAGGAAAAAGTCACTGGCCGCTTTGGGCGATACCTTTTCTTATAGCAATCTTGCTCCTTTTGATCGGAGTATTTATTTTGTTGACCCTTGGCGTCAAACACCATTGTTTGTTCTTCGACTGCGAACAACCGATCGACAAAGTCATCTCGCCGTCGGATGAACTACCTCGTAATGAAGACGTTGTCCTCGGCGATGATGAAATCAGTATCCACGGAGAACTGATCTTTGAAGAGGGTGCTCCAGACAGTTTACCTCCTAATTCGCATTTACGGGTGAAATTTGAAGACGTTAGCATGATGGATGCTCCCTCGGTACTTCTCGGAGAAACTATGGTCGACTTGTCGAGCTATGATAAAGCGAAGAACCTGAAATACGAAATCAAGTCCAAAAAGCCAGGTCTTGGTGGCAGTTACAGCGTTTCTGCGACATTGAATGTGGGCTGGAAGGCGAACAAAGAAGCTTGGATAAAACCAGGCGATTACATGACGGACACACATTACGGTGTAAGGATTGAGGACAAGAAACAAGATTACAGGAGGGATATTACTTTGGTTAAATATTAGCACGAGTTAAGGTAAGGAAAATTATGCCGCTTCATGAACAACGACCAAATTTCTGCCTTTTACTCTTCTGTAAGGTTTGTGAAATCTTTTATCACGCGTAAGGTAACACCAGGAAAGCTGAATTAACAATGAACAAAACTTGAAATGCCTACTCATGTTCCAAAAATTTACATCCATAACCTTTAAGAATATTGTAAACGCCCTTTCCTAAAGTTCTGGTAAACATTTCAAGCATGTAATGGCTTTCCTTAACGTCTTATACCGTGGGGGCTAACATAATTAAGAGCAATAGACTAACAGGTGAGCAGAGTGAGTTACATGAAGATAAAATAACTGCCAACGAAGCAATATTTTTCTCCATGCGAAATAATCAGCTTAATGCTTATATAAACTCTAATGCTCAGAGTGCCTTATAGGGTAGGTCAAGTGATATTTAGCCAAGTTTAAATTAGAAATCTATCTTTAGTTCAATATTTTGTTGGTCAAATATTCTATTCTCTCTTGTTTTGGGTTGTACCCTGATTTTTAGGTGTCGAGGGGAGAAGGGGGCATCATTCTTGCTGTGGACAATGTATAATGAACATTTTTGATTCCCTAGAAAATGTACTTTTTGTTCTATGTGGAAGGGGTATCCTTTGAAGCTCAAGGCATGTTTTCCAACTCTCCTTGTTTTTTCAAGAAGTCTTGTTGATATAACAAACTCTTGCTATTTCTTAAACTTGGTTTAATCTTCTTCATTGAATTCTACTTAGACATGCTTTTCTATGATATGGTGGAAATCAAGTTGAAGTCTTTGCATTAAAATGTAGTTGGTTCCCTTTTTTTTTTCCTTAGGCCCAAGTCACACTAGAGCTATTTTTTGTTTGTTTGAATGAGAAATCTGTCAACAAGTAACAAGTCCGACCCCCAGTTTCAAAAACTTACTAATTTTTTGCCAATTGCCAAATTTTCACCAATCTTCAAAGGACCCAGTATCTTGCCTTGGAGGCTTCCAAAATTTGGAAAAACAAGCATTCATGTTCTTTTAACCATTTAGCTGTCATGATATGTAAGATATGTCTGAATAAAGTTTCCATGGCAAGTATTGAAGCCAGCATGAGTAGTGCAAATTTCAACCAAAACACAAAAGATCTGCAGGAAAAAAAGGATCAGTTCTTTTGTAGCAATTCTTGTGAAAATTTTTTCTATCTCTTTTTAAAGCAAGATGGGTCTGTGATTGATATATAAATCAATCAGTGAAGTCTCGGTCGAGGAATATTAGTTTCATGCGACATTTGCCAAAATTTGGTTTGCCAAAATTTGGCTTGCCAAAATTGGAAGAGTATCTGATTTTGGTGGCACTTTTTGCTTTAGTGTGACCCGGCCCTTAGGAAGTTTGTTCATTATTGCAACTCTCAGTATGTGCCTTTTAAACAAATTTAGGAGTGGATGGGTATGGAGTGAGAGATGGGAGACATGGTCTAAAACAAAACATACCCATATTTAAGATTTCAGTATGTTGATATTGCTGCTAATGCTTTTATAACCACCTCCTTAAAACTTTGGGCTAAAACATTATTTCCTCATGCGCTTATATTGGGTATGCAAGAGAGGAAAGGAGATAAGGGTGCAAGTGGAATAATAACTTGATATTTTACTGTTCTTTGCCCTCAGATGCCAGATGTACACTTATTCTACTCAAGGACAGATATCACTTGCAGAACATTTTAATTGAAGGATGCACTCTATATTACATTATTAATTCATTATTTTAATGCGATAAGCACTGACAAAATCTGACTGCTCATAGATGGTAGCTTATTCATACTGTCAAGCAAAGTGTAAATATATCCTAAATTATAACATAATAGTATTGGTATGGTAGTGGGATAAACATTTTATTTAATGCAATTAAAATTAGACCTGCACATTTTGTGTTTTCTCCGGCCAATTACTGTTAAGTCTATGCAGTATTTCAAAATAATTGTGTGCTTTTTTTTTTAATTTTGCAACCTACTAAAATAGTTGAGTACATACAAAAAGAATCACCTTGCTTTTGTTCACTATGGTAATCTCTGGGATAGAATTAAAAAAATATTGATTTTTTTCATAACGAGGGATCATCTATTCTGTATTATCTTTACATTTACACACTGATTATAATTGTATTTTCTCTCAGAGTGTGGTTGTATCAGGGTGACTTTTTGTTTAAAGAGTTTTAAGTTATTAACTTGGGTGATGTACAGTTTTTGGCAAGAGACTTGGACAAAATGATCAGCTTATAAATTTAGGGGTGGGGAATATCCTGGATCAATAATCAACCATCTCTATATTTCAGTTTATTGGAGGTTGGCTTCTCTGTGAGATAAAAAACAAAGCAGTGCTTACTTGTTGCCTCTCTGTGTGAGAGCTTCTATAACTTTCATCTTTAATTTTGCTTGAACATGTGCATAAGGGCTTATTAGTTTTTACCCAACCAGCCTTTGTTCTAGGACTCTTGGATCATTAAATTTTTTTAATCCAAATTGAGTACTGTATAAAAGCTGGTGCTGTTTGGTTTAAATTTATTTTGATACCTCACTCTCAACTGAATGTTTACAAGGTGTTGTCTTTTGTTGGATTTACTTTGTTGAAGAAACTACTGTCATTTGCATTGTGGTGCAAATTATGTTAGATAGGCTTGCAAAAGATAATATCTTGCAAAACGTGTTAGCTTTTGAATGAAATGAAAGCTAGGTGTTGTGAATGTGTGAGCAAGATTATTTTGTAGTTCAAAAATAAAGAGCAATTGTTATTGGGGCTTTGTTAATCAGTAAGTGAAAGGTATTGTCTCATCATAAGGTTTAAATGACTGGAAAAGGTTGATAATTCTAAACAATATTATGGGATAAAAATGCAACTTTCATCTCAAATCTGATTTTTGATTTTCTTAAGCTAACACATCGCTTCCCATGAAAATGCTGCTCTCAAGTTATAAAATACAAAAACATTGAATTGATGAGAATGGATAAATTTATGAGCTGGATGTCATGTCAGCTTGTTTTATCTAGACTGCTACAGCCTACTTGTGTACCAAATCACTCAGATTTTTTACTTGGCTTCATAGGATATACTTGTCTTTCTACTTGTTGCTTTTCTGGCTAAGTAGAGTGACAACCAGAAATACATCAGCATCTGCAATACCAGGCAGATATTCCATGGTCAGGTATTTTCAGATCTGCAGTTACAGGTTAATTTCCATTTTCTTTGGGTGTTTTCAGTTGGAGAAAACTTGAAATATGTCACTCCCTTTTCAGACAAGTGAGTTCCAAGCTCCAAGTAAAATCTTTCACATTCCAGCATTCCCCCCTGGTTTATGATATAGGAATTTTCTTAAAAATTTGAATTTTAGCCAATTACACCTGCCATCAAATTGTTTGTTAACACTCCCTATGGTGTAGGACAGTGATCCTGTTGAACTGTAACAATACAAGAGGATTATCGCCTTTACTAGCGTGAAGTTTTTTACTGGGTCTGATAGAAGAACAGAAGAACTTTGTGCAACCAGTCCAAAATGATGATAGAAATCATCTGAGTTGGAAACGTCTCAAAAAAGATATTTTGAGAGAAACATGGCTTTGCACTTATCAGAGATTGGGAAGAAGTCAGAAATTATAATGGGGAAACCTGGTTTTGGTGCGTGTTACTGTTTTATTTTGATATTACCTCCTGTTACAGGAAAGGTTATTATGACTGCTCCTGTAGTCCTTGGATATACCTAGATGAATTTTATTTTCTAGATAATTATCATGCTTGATTCACCCTAAATTCGCAGAGTTAAAGTTGCAAGAAACATTTAGCTGTTATTGTGGACAAATGGTATTGAAAGGCGTAAAAACGACAGCATAATGGGTATTTATTAGAAACGTCGCAACCCCCTCCCCCCAGCCCCAATCTCCTCCCCACCTCCCGCCCATGTAAGAGAAGGAATAAGCACAAGATAGCTGCAGGGAAATTTCGATTTCATTCTCCGTGGGAGTGTAAGGTTGATAATACAGCTGGAGATACTAGACTTATCTGGCATCTCTTTGTCTTTTATCCACTAGATTTCCTTCTGTATTGTTGTTTTTTCAACTTGGAGAACGATTTGTAGGTTTTGCGTGCAGATCCGCGCCACTCTAAGTAATATTGAGACACTGCATACTACATGCAGTTAAGCTTATTTAGAATATTGTGCAAGAAAAGTGCTATTTCAGGGCTGTTACAGCATCACAGGCCAGCACAGACGAAGGAAATAATGGAAATTACTGGAAAAATAATCTTTACGGGCGGCTCTGCGCCCGATGTTCTTCCAACTCCTTCGTATTTAACGGTGAAGTTTGAAGACGTGAGTTTGATGGATGCCCCCTCAGTCAAGATCGGCGAATCAGTTGTCGATGTCACAAACATCTACAAGAAAGGAGAACCACTGATCTTCACCATTAAGTGCCCCAAACCGTCTCCCACTCAACCAGATTACAGTGTTTCTGCCGTTTTAAATGTAGGCTGGAAACCAGACGGGAACTCGTGGATAAGGAAAGGGGATTATTTAAATGACACCATGCACCATATACCTTTGGAAGTTGGAAAAGATTCGTACAAGATGGACATCGAGGTGATTAAGTACCGATAAAAATAGTGAGCTTGGTAAGTGATTTTTAGCATATTCACCCCTGGTACATAATTGTAATGTGAGATAAAGAACATAAATATTGATTTGATTTAAAACCAAAATGATTGCCTGTATGTTCACTTTTGGATACAACCCTGAAAGAGGAATACGTTACAGCACGGTTCACGTTGTTTTAGTGTCACCAGGGGAGTAGGTAAGACCTCCCTGAAGAGGTTCTCACACGTCCAGTGTCTTATCAGCATTTTGGGCACACTGATTCTATTACTGAACAACATGACAATCATTTCCTCTTCACTGAGAGGGGGTTACTAGCATCGCATAACCCCCCTCTAACCATGCCTCAAGCTAAAACTGTATCATTGCTGCAGTTTTTCACTCAATTAAATGCAATATTAATTAGACTCAGAGACACATCGAAGGATTGAAGATATTTTAAGGTCATATAACAACTTTGTAAATCACATAATTTTTCATTGTGCCATTTACCCTCCCCCCTGAAATTCTGTTTCAGAGAATTTGGTCACATTTTTTAATTAACCCGTAGATCCACATCATTGAGATTTGGGAGTCTTATATGTGTCAGCTTGCATGCTATCCAAGCAGCAGGTGCCATCTTGAACCATTACTGATAGATGAGACCCAGCAAAAATTTGATGGTCAAATCCGTATTTATCGTGTTTGTGAATACTTTCATTTTTTTTTCTTTCAGCTTGTCCTGGTTTTATTATTGGACAGGCTTCAAATTCACACTTTTACTCTGAATTTTTTTGATCTATTAATTTATTTTGGGTTTCTGTATTTGTCCTTACGAAGTACATGTGTGTGTAGAGGTGTGAAGGTTTGTCTTTGAATTTGAAAGTCTAGTATGAATAAAAAATTTACATTAACAAATGAAATTTTTTGTCACAAATCTATTTATTTCCATTGAATACATGTAAGAATTTCATTGATAAATTGATACCTTGTCTAAAGTTTAGTGGAGCTGTAAATGGTTTTCAGGATGTTTAAAAAATAAATGGTATTTTATTGATAAAAAAAAGTTCCATCATCTCTTTTTGGTCTTTGGAAAGCTATTGGTGTCTTTTTAAGGTGGACTTCTTGCTGAAGAGGGGGTGCTTGGGTCAATTTTTGCTGGGTATGTGCTGCTGGCTGCTTAGAACCTCTACTCCATTTAAGTCTATTCTTTGACCAATTATAAACCCATCTCAGTCACTATCAGTAACACAGTAAAAACTTTATAATTGTGAGCCTTCCAGAATTTTCTTACCCCAAAATATCCCAACAATGTGTGACCCCTTTCTAGAAACTCTATTGAAATGCAACCCTGTGGTAGTCAATTCAGTGATGAAAATGGGACCTCATCCAGCAGCACATCCCCATTAGCCTATTAGAAAGTACTTCCCCTGGGATTACCAGCTGTTGCTTGCAAGGTGAGTCCATCACCCTCCCCTGGGCTAGACAGTTGTGGAAATTGAGTCTAATTAGCCCTTTTTGCAGTTTGTGCAATAGCTCTGTGCAGTTGGGTGCAGATGAGAAGTAAAGAGTAATGGCTGAATGTCACTACCTGAAAAACTATTCACTTACCCCTCCCCTAAACCAACATTAACCCTAATTTGTTATCAGTTGACTAAGAGTAACAATAATATGGACCTTTTGATTTAAGAGTTATTCCTAATTTCAAGAATTATTCTGAACAAAGGGATATCATAAGCAGCCAATGAGAAGTGAAAATTAATTCCTGCATTAAGGGCCGTTTAAATGAGTTTCTTCCTCATTATTGGTTATTTTGTTTCAGCCAGTGGATAACCTTTATTTCCATCGCTTTGAAAACGCAGGAAAGCCGCGTGCTCTCCGCGCGTCCTAATCGCGCTTTCAGTTCGTTACTCAGCCATGTTCAACACATATTTTTGATGGGAATAACAAATAAATAAAAACACTCAAAGAAATTTAGCTCAAGCCTGCCTGTGGTTTATAATCTGAAGTATTTTAATTAGCAAATTACATCCAATAAATTAATGACAATTAAAGGATTAATTATCGACGCAGAGATCACGTCGCAACTATGAAGGAGTTATTTAGCACTAACTTCGGACTGGTCTGACGTGTTTTTCAGAGGGGCGCCAATTTCCTTCATGCTGTTTCCGCATGAGTTGTAGAGCCTTCAAGAGCCTCCCAGGTTTGTAGCTGGCAAACAAGAAATTTCGCAAAAGAATTAAGTTGAACTTTTAAGGACTTCTCTTTCAAACGCACATGCACAGAGCAAACTTCGACCCGAGAAGAACATTTACTTGCGCGCTTTACACCTTGTTTCATCGAATGTTGTTTTCATGAAAGGTCAGTTTTATAGTTATCTTGGGATAAAGAATAAGTTCGTTAAAGAAAACACACACACAAAAAAAAAAGAAAAATGGGGGAAGAGATGGTAACATCTTTTAAACAAAAGACAAAAATTGCGCGCGCGTCAAGAGTTTGGCCTCACACGTGTCATGAACCTTGCTCAGATCATTTAGAAACCTCATTCAGGAAAAAGTTTCGTGTGGATCCTCAAATTATTAAACATTTAAAAAGAGGAAATGTGAAGTGAAAAATAAGATATTAAATTACGTTAGATTTAAACTGGGTGCACTGAAGGAAAATGCAACCAAAATTAAGTATACGTCAACTTCACGCTGTAATGGCATCTTCTTATTAACCAATTAACCAAATAAGCTAATTACAATTAAAGATATTTTGCATTAAGACATCGCAAATTTCTTTTTACATTACAGGGTAGTACCAAGGATTAACTAAAAGCTCCTTTCTTCCTATTTTCTGGCGATCCTAAGAGAGCTGCTTTCTTCCCTGGTTCAGAGCACAGGTGAGGCAACTTTTATGATTGTTTTACAAGCAACCACCTGCACAGCTTCGAGGAATGAGGAGTTTTAGGATTGACGGAAGCATCGACGTCTGACCCTTGAACACAACTCACGGATCAAGATATGGACTCAAATCTTTTTCGGGATCCTCAAATTTAAGCTTTAGAAACGATTTCCGTGGCCACCACCGTATCTTGACAAAACGCTGTCTTTGATTCGGTGTGCCTATCGAGTTTCGGCTGATGCAATGTAAATGACTCAGGAAACATGAAACAGCCCTACTTCGCTAGAGAGAAAGATCGTTAAGGCGAGGATCGCTGATGTACAAATTGGTGGACTGAGACGCTATTAAATCACTGAAGGACAAGCGAGCTGCTCAAAAGCCGGGATCAATGATAAAATGAACTGACATGACACTACTGAACGAACGGTTTCGTCTTTAGGCCACTTCTGTTACTCCCTCTTCCCCGAGGGTGGGGCAGAAGAGCGTGGTTGCGTTGCGACTGACGCCTGTGACTGAACAGTTTCTCATTTCCTTTCTACCTCCTCTTTCTCTTTTGAAATCTGATCTTTGCTTAGTCATTCTTGTCTTTCCTTAACGCCTTAGACTCGTTCGCAGAGCCGAGATCTTTGGTCAGGACTACGGATTGCAAACATAGCTCTGGTGGCAGCTGTCCCAAGTTTTCAAAGAAATTCGACGCTCATAGTGATCTTTGACATTTTGTCCATGTTATTGACCAATCAGATGTCAGGATCGGAAAAGGGATTTCTTCTGCTTTTTTTTCACTGAGACACTGTTTAAAAGAATCGCGCCTCTCAAAATGAGACTCCCAATATCCTCAAAGTATTGCGTAATATTTTAGAGGCGTGTGGATGGATATTTTACATTAGTTCTTATGTAGTTTATCCTTCTTAGCCACAAGCAGGTGCTTATGTTCAATGAATCCTTCAGGAAATGAAGATGTCAAGAAGAGACAGTATGTGACCAGATCAAAATTATTCAACCATGACACGGTAAGCAACGCATCTTTTTCAGCAGAAGAAGTGTGATGTTAATTTGTTTGTATGTGGTCCTTTTTGTAAAAAAATTGGTATTTTATCTTTTCTTTCATTTCTTTACTAAGGAAGCACCAGTACATTCAAGATACAAGTCATGATAAGCCTTCGACACTCGTGATAGACATATTCCATGAACGTCACACAACACCGTGCAGCATCCGAAGCATACACACAAACGTCACAATGCAGTTCAAAAAGTAGCAAGCAGCATACAGATAAGGAAGACAAACGTCGCACAACAAATCACACAAAATAATTACACGTAATAGATCATATCATATAGGCAATCACACATCAGATCACGCAATACGCATAAAGGTCACACAAAGGCGCATACACTCTCTTTCTAGTAGGGGACTTCTTCATAAACTTTTAGTCAGAGGACTCTGTCTGGTTGGGGAAAGGTCTGACCAACTGACCAACTGACCAACAGCGACTGTACTGTTTAACATGACACCATCAGACAAATCACCCATGCAAATCACAAACAAACTAACTGAATTGCTTACCCAACTGCTGACTCAGACCTCCTTCCCCAACTAAATCAGATCTCGCTTTTAGGGCAGGATGAGGTGGTCGCGCCACGGAGTCTGCGTGGAGTAACGTCACGCTCACCTCTCGGGGTGTGGCGACCCCGCCCAATCCAAGTCTGCTTCCCCGCGGGATCCCATGCCAAACCTCCCTGGGAACAGCCGCTATTTTCTTCAGATCAGCAATGAATGTTATCGTGTATGTTTCATAGGCGGTAACATGTTGGTCTCGGTTTTTTTTTTTTATCAAAACTTATGAAGCTTGTCCCCTTCTCAACACTCCTCTCCTACAACTGCCTTCTCGCATATCACGTATCAGGATCAATAAACGGGTTTTTAGCCCCTTGTTGGCACTGGTATCGCTGTTGCGACAAGGCGTTGTTACTTGCGCCGCTTACTTTCCTTTCTGCTTTGACACTGCTGTCAAAGTTTTTCTCTCTTTTGAAATCGATATTGCAATCGTTTGTTCGATAAAGCAGTGTCGATATGGCTAATATATCACCGCCTCTGCTCCTTTTAATATTAGTCGATATCATTGATGGTATCACTAATTATGCCTATTATAGCTATCCTATCGGTTTGCAGTTGATAGTGACTAGGTCATTGTCAAAGTCAAGATCAAGTCAAGACGTCTACAAGTTGTATATTAAAGAGCTGAGGCGGCAATATCCCTACGCGCTCAAGAACTTCAAAAGCTCCAGATGAAAAGCAAGTTCCAATGGTAATATTTTAGGTGACACTTTTTGCTGCGGCGATCATTTCATAAATCAGGCATCCAATCATAACAGATTCCACCATTTGAGTCAGGGGGCGGTGGAGGGGGATTGGAGTTGGGTCCCGCTAAATGTAGGTGGCTTCCTACGGCATTCGAGAGAAAGGAGAGTTAGTGGTTGCATAACTGTCTGAGAGTTCGAGTTTGTGACTGATTTTTTAATTGATCCCCCTGAAGGTGTCAGCCAAAAAGAAATCGTGCGCTTTGTTTTTGTTCACGTCATTTTATGCAGAAAAACTATGACTATATTATCTTGCCCGTCTAAGTCTTCTTAAAAATCTTTTTCCCTTCCTATATATCTTACGCTTCTTAACTTCACAATGACATTGACGACTTCGACTTAAAATACAAACTTTTACTGACGGAGACAATGAATAGCACATTTCATCACTAGTTCAGGTGGCTGGAAATGAAAGAACGGTCAATTGGAAGCTGGGAAGACAAACGAAAGGACATAATGTCTGAACCGGAAGTCGACGAATTTTCTTGAAAACCCTCAGGGGGAGATGGGGAGAGAGGGAGGGAGGGGGAGAGAGCAGAACGTGACATCCTCGTCATTTTCTAAAAAATACAGATAAAACATTTCGTGGTGGAAGCCGACTCGAAGCTAAAGAAGACTTTCGGGTGAGGCTCGACTTGTCGCCAGCTTAAGAACGCTTACGCCACTATGCAGAAGGGGAAAGCTGCAACTTCATCGCCTACCACAGTTAGGGGACCATCACAGCAGTATCCTTGTCATTTTATCCGCAGGGTGAACGTGATGCTTGTGAATACTTATCGAGAGAAATCCATATTGGATTTTTGTTCCTCGTTGTGTAAGCCTTTGTTACGTCGTGTCAAATTTTCCAAACCAAATTTTTGTTGTTATCCTTCATTCCTTGATCACAGAAATGCTCGTGAGCTGCCTTCGTCACAGCCAAGTAAGTCTTGATTCTTTGGAATTTCCGAGTGAAATCTGTAGATCGTCGAGAGGGATGAACAGGACATGGTGAAATTGCTGACGTTTGCAATTGTACGAAAGAACAAGGATTTCCGTGAATTTCAACGCAATTGATATGTCTATTAATTTCTTTAGGACCTGACGATTTCATTCAAAGACAACAACAGACTTTCCCGGTAAATAATTTTTATCTTCTGTAATTCATGTCATATTTTCGTCGACGATCCCACCGATGCTGATGTTTTGTTGTCTCGTAGAATTTTGTGACTTTTTTTTGTAGCTATTCTGTGTACAGGTGTTTTGTTCCGTTCTTAAGGGACTGTGTACGTCATAAAAAAGTGCTTAATCACCTAAGATCTAAGTTTTTATAGTGGTTGGTTTGCGAACTGCCCTGTTTGGTTATTATTTTAGGAAAAGTATTTTGTAATTTACTTCCGTGAAGAGGTAGGATCATCGGAAATGTTTGTACATAATTTACGGAAGGTAATGAAAATTCCCAGCCAGGGATTTAAAAGAGGGGAATGTATTTGCAATCCTTTAGTTTTGTTCCTTCTTTTATATGCGTTGAAATATTTTATAATGGAAATGGTTTGCTCTTCTGGCTTAGATAGACTGAAATATCGACGGGCTCACAGACATCCTTAATTTGGAGCAAACATTTTCATCAATTTCATCCGATCCTGTGTGACAAACACAGTTTTTTATTTCGTTTGGTGATCTCCGGTTTTCATTCACTTGTTATTTGATTAAACTAGGATTTTGTCGATCAGTAGCCTGGCTGGTTCGAGACGGGCGGGGCGAGAAACCGGTGGCAGAATAGATTAGGTAAAAGTAGAATTTCTGTTCAGAAAGAGACTGAGTAGCAAACAATTTATGGTGAAAACACAAACATTTAGCAAAAGTTTAAGTCTTTCAGACCACGTTCAGAGTTGCAGAGGATAGGAACTCAAAGAGTGACCCTAAATAATATTTCTCTTCCATATAAACATTGCTCAACAAAATGCTACCAACTTCAAGATTATGTTGAGCAATCAACATCAGGTTACCTTTTGTTTGAGCTTGGTTATTAAGCTAAATGGTTCTCGGCTTTGTTCAGTCCTTTCCCAATTTCTTCATGCACAACAGAACATTTTAAAATTGAACTATTTTTAATGGAATTTACATGATGGGGATTTCAAAATGTGTTGAAGTTTCAGTTTCAGTTTCAGTTTCAGGCAAGTATAATTATTACTTTGTGTAAGATATATTGGCCAGTAAATGTTTTTCCTTTTTTCTTTAAACTTAATATTTGCTTCATATGCGGATAACAATTTTTTGAGTCATCTTTTTTTAATTTGAAAAAAAACTCATTGATAGAGTGTAGAGTGGCATGTTGCAATCAGATCGCCACATTAGGGTTTGGATCTCACACTCATCTGATTGCTGCATTAGGATATATATCTCACACCAATCAAATTGGTACATTACAGTATGTATCTGGCACCTGGATATTGTTTTCTTGCAAATGATCTCATGAAATGAGGAGGCTGTGCACAAAGAATGACATTAACTAGAAATTTTGGGCTCATTATTTTGATAAGTGTTATTATTGTGGCCTTTGTAAGAGCCTCGTCGCGTGAGGTTGAGATTTATTGGGATAATTTTTAAGTTAACATGTGTTTTTCCGCTCCTTTTCTCGCAACACACACACCAAACAACTGACATTCCATCACGTACTGTGAAAACAACATCTAAAGTCCAATCAGAACATACCAAACCATTGCTCTACATGAACATTGGACAATTTTTCATGTACTTGAATTGTATTCTACCAATCAAATCCCATTTCTCCATATTGGACCTCGCTCTGTCACATGCCACTTCCTTATAACCAACCTGCATTTTATCATGTATTCTAACCACATTATCCAACACCACAGAAAAAAATTCACATGAAACTTTGTGCTACTGATAGTGAATTTTCCACCCGTTCTCCTGCGTTTTGAATTTTTCTGCAGATAAAATTTGCATTTAGCTACCTTGGACTTCACCCAATCGCACGTTAATTCCTTGTGAACAACATACATTTTTTCACATATGTCACACACACAGAGGGCAAATCAAAGTCCAGATAGGCAAAAACCAGTCAAGGAACCTTCTTCAAAATATTATCCTTTTCTCTGGCTCAGTGTATCTTCCCTTATACTAGATTGCAGTATATCTTTGGTCAGGGTATATTGGAGATACAACAGTTTCAGTTTGCTTTTCACAGTAAAATTATGTGGAATTATGTTTTCAAGTTGACTAACTGTAGATGAATAATTTTGATTTTCTTTTTGTTAGAGAAAAGGCTGCAAGTGTAGTCTCTTTTGCAATCATTATTTGGTCTCGTCACACAGTGGCTCTCTCTCCAACAGGGAAGAGAGGGCGTTGCATAACAAGACCAAACAATGGCTGCAGAGACAACAGTAGTGATACGTTTTATCTTTGCTCAGAGGTATTTAGATGATAGAGACAATAGACCACAAAATGCCTGTGTAATGTGATATTTTTGTTCTATTGAAAGTTATGAAAATATCAGGAACACAAACTGTCCCATCTTGACCTACCTAGCTAAAAAAGTAACTCTTGCATGCTATGTATGCCTATGTTTTTCTTGGTTTAGAAATGAGTGTGAATATGTAAGTCTTGTGGGTATCCTTTTTAGTTTGGAAAAAATCCTAAGATGACAAGATTCTTACTGTACACAACACCTCATTCTCATTTTTAGATTACCAACTTCCTTGACTCAAAAACTTAAACATAGAGTTTGGCTTTTTGCTCTCATAGTTCATGTATGGCAGGTTGTACTGATTTTGAATAAAGAAATGCCATTCTCTAAAAGGTTTCTTTTCTAAAATAGGGAAGGTAATAAATTTGCTATCGACAGTGTATAGTTATACAAGATATAGCTTAAATTCTGCTTGTAGAGTATTGATCTGTGCATTACTGTCTTTTCATGCACAGGCTGATAAGGGGCAAATTCCTAGTCCACTGCAGATGCAGTACAGACCTCAGCAACCCACATCAGGGGCATTTACTCCTGTATCAGGCCCTTCCCAGGGTCCTGGCCATTTTTTTTTTACTCCTCAACAAACAGGATATCCAATGGGACAGCCGCCAGGTCCTTTGTATATTCTTAGGGCCCCTGCAGCTCCTATGAATACAATACAGCAGTACAGTCCTAGTCAAAATTTTGAGCCACGTGCACGGGAGAGGAAATTAATTCGAATAAAAGATCCAAATAGTAACAAAGATGTGACACAGGAAATTCTTAAGCCTCAACCATCAGGAAGTGTATCAGGAAGTGCATCAGGAAGTACTGGGGGTACACCAACAAACACCCCAGATGTATCAGGACAGTCCAGTCGTTCAAGTACACCTCCACTATCATCACAGCAACAAGATAGGCAAGCACAGTTTGCAGCGCAGGTAGCTGCAACTTTAACTAGTGACACAGATAAAAACTTTGAGCTAACCCTGGAGGGATCTGTAGGAGAAGAAATTATGCCAAAAGCTCCTCAATCAGAGAGTGCGGAAGTAGAGGAGAGGGTCAATGGGCATGAGACTGAGGCTAAAACCGCAAGTGTTACAAAGAACTCTACTGATGTTCAAGGAGCAGGTTTGTATATCTACTCTATATACTCTTACCCCATAAGGTAGGGAAAAGTATGCATTAGAGCTTTTGATCGAAAAAGATACTTAGTCAAGGAGAAGAATTTCAAAAAGAGGCCAAAAAAAGGCACTATGTAACACCCTCACTACACATCCCCACTGCCATCCTTCAATGCCCATGCAGTCAGTATTATTTGTAATATTACTTCCATGTGTTTTCAAGAGGCCAGGTTTTATATTGCTTCCTTTTGTGATGTTGCTGTAGAGAAAGACATGAAAAAGAAAAAACAGAACAAATGTCTGAAGGACATGGTGAAACAGTTCTCAGAGAAGGGAGTGGATCTTATGGGTGCTTATACAGAGAAGCCTGTTGAGGAGGTAAGTACAGCATATATATTTATAATTCAGGTGAATTAGAAAATGTTAACTCGTGCATTCTTCTTAGAGGAGGCAGGTAAATGTTTTCTTGTAAGAAAATGAGTGACACTGCCTTTTTAAATAAATGCAGTTGTGAGTAAGATTAACTGACTCTAGTCTTTGTCTTTTGGATAACTTGATATGTCATCATCCTCAGAGACCCAGGGGTGGGTGGAAGAGCCCCTGGGGACATTGTCTTACAAGACTAGTTCCAAATGGTTGCAGTCGTTCTGGCATCTGATTGGTGCCAGAAAATCTTTGTGTTTTTCTGCCCAATCTGAGTAAAGTATGCTTTAGAGTCCTTTCGTGTGTTTTAACACGGAGATGTACAAGAAGCTCAGTTGCTTGCCTTGTTTGCTTGGGCTGTTTGATGAAGCTTTGCCTGAGGTGAAAAGTTTCAGTCTCAGCACACAATGTAAGAGAAATCGACCAGATTGTTCGCAAAAATCTTACCAGAAATTATACTGAATACTTTCACAGGTATCACAAGAGAACATATTTAAAAGTTTGTGAGGTTCATATAAAAAATAATGGTTGTAGGCGTTAATATGTTGCTTTAAACATTATACAAGATGTAAGCTTAAATCTTTCTTGATTTCTCATACAATTTGCTGTGACTGAAACTTTGCCAATCCTGTGAAGCTATATTTCGCACACGGGCCATGCAGGTATGTCGAGCAACTGGCGCTTATGCTTGCACAGCTTTCTGTATGTGATTCGTATGTTATCCACTGTGAACTTGCAAACATTCATTTGGCCTTTTGCTTTTGCAATTTACAATGTTGAATTATACAAGATATGGCTTGAATTCTGCTTGTAGAGTATTTGTACATTACTGTCTTCTTATGCACAGGCTAATTATGAGCAAATTCCTGGTCCACCTCAGATGCAGTACAGACCTCAACAACCCATGCCAAGGGCATTTACTCCTATATCAGGCTCTTCCCAGGGTCCTGGCCATTTTGTTTTTACTCCTCAAAAAACAGGTTATTCAGTGGGACAGCCAAGTCATATGTATATTCTTAGGGCTACTCCACCTCCCATGAATACATCACAGCAGTACAGTCTTAGTCAAAATTTTGAGCCACGTGCACGGGAGAGGAAAATAATTCAAATAAAAGATCCAAATAGTAACAAAGATGTGACACAGGAAATTCTTAAGCCTCAACCATCAGGAAGTGTATCAGGAAGTGTATCAGGAATTGCATCAGGAAGTACTGGGGGTACACCAACTAACACCCCAGATATATCAGGACAGTCCAGTAGTTCAAGTACACCTCCACTAACATCACAACAACAAGATGTGCAAGCACAGTTTGCAGCGCAGGTAGCTGCAACTTTATCTAGTGACACAAATGAAAACTTTGAGCTAACCCTGGAGGGATCTGTAGGAGAAGAAATTATGCTAAAAGCTCCTCAATCAGAGAGTGCAGAAGTTGAGGAGAGGGTCAATGGGCATGAGGCTAAGGCTAAAACCGCAGGTGTTACAAAGAACTCTACTGATGTTCAAGGAGCAGGTTTGTATATCTACTCTATATGCTCTTACCCCATAAAAGTAGATTGCCATGGTTGCAGAGTTTAAAAGCCAAGTCTGATTCCATTGCTGGTTGTTGAATTGAGAAAAGATATTTGTTTTTGAAAAAAAATTTTTAAAGGCAAAATTTTTAAAATCAGTTGTAGATCATACTATAATTTGGTCACTTGATACAGATATGAATACCACTGTGTGCAGTGTTCATAAATGGCTATGTGGAAGGACCTAGACTGTATGACAATGAATTAAAATTGACTGAATACATTGTGTGAAAATGAGACAGGTTAAATTTGGTCCTGTACTCAGTCAGTTTTAGCCCCATTTAATGAAGTTAAAGAAATTTGGGCAATCCATTCAGATTGCCCAGTCTAGTAATTTCTTTTGGCTGTGTGGAAAATCAATTTTAATTTTTGCTTGAACTCTGATATGCCAAAAGTGTTTGTTTCTGGTATCAATACTTCTTAATCTGTACTGAACTAAAGTTGTAGTCATTTTTCCCGATGAATTTTCTTAATTAAGGGAGACAAATATAGATATTTGTGAATTCCATTTCATTGCAAATAAAAAAATTGCATTGTTGGTTTGTTCTGACTTGTACGTAATGAATGTCACTTCCATTTCAACAGAGGCATCCTTTCCAGACCTTGATGAAAAGCCTAAAAAACAAGATGGGGAAAGGCTCACATATGAAAGGGATTTCTTGTTGCAGTTTCAGACCCATCCAATGTGTATGTTGAAGCCTGAAGGTCTGCCTGATTTAGAAATTGTTCTTGGCCAAGCAAGAACTCCCTCCAGATCACGATTTTCTCAGAACAGGTAAAACAGGCCAGGCAATGCATATGTCTCTCTACAAACATCCTTAATATAATGTTGACTCTGATGGTTCTTTGAAAAGATCTGCATGGTATACCGCCCCCATAGCTCTGAATTATCTGGCTTTTACTGAATGGTTTTCCTTTTGTGCTCAGTTATTTTCCTATTTTTATGTGCATTGTAACTTAAGGTTTTGGCATTTTCCATTACTCTGTGATCTTCACTGGCTGCTCTGTGCAGATGCCAACTGGTAAGATAAATAACCATTGAACTGGCTCTACCCTGCTGTCACTGATGCCAGCAGTTCCACATGTATTCAGGAAATTTCTGTAGTAAAAGCACTGCTGTTGAGGGAATGGTTTTGTCTATTCTAAAACTAAGAGCTATTCAGCATATATATATATATATATATATAACTGTTTATATTAGTATATAACAGTATATACACCACTGTTTGTGATACTACTTGTGTCATTTGTTCATTTTAAGTTGTGTTTTTACTCTTTCTGTTGCAGGATGCAACCCAAAGATGGTGGTGAAAATATGTTTTTACCTGCATACCTTAGGCAAAATTCAAGAGTATGTCACTCAGTTTAGTTTTGCTTTTTCTGTTGTATTTGAACTATACAAGATGTTAGAGACGTATATATTGATTATACTCTAGCTATCACAAGAAAACAAAATACGTACATGGTAAAGTGAATCATTTGGTGTAACTGTGATTTTTATGAAGAGTAGCTCATGGTAGCAGGTAGATCTACCTGTAATGCACTTGCTACCTGCTTGAAGCCTTCACATAATACATCTTTGTAGTCCTAACATACACCTTCAAATAGGTTTTCACCAAAGCACAACTACATGACATAATTTAGCATTGACCCTAAAATGTAGGAAAGTCAAAACCTTAAAAATTTCCCAAGGTGCTGAAATCTCACTAGGAATAGAAGATTCTCCATGCAGGCCTTCAAAACATCTTGGGGCCCCCATTGTTTTTTAAACCATCATAAGAGATGTCTACTGCGCACCCATCTTTGATCAAATTGGATAAAAATTCTCAACAGCTATCTCCTTAAAAATTGTAGAATAACTCCTCAAACTAAAGTGCAGGACATAGAAATGTAGAAATAAATTAACCCAATAGCTTAATTTTTTTATTCACATTTTGCTTTACCATGAGGGTATGAGTAACCTATAGTACAAGATTTTAAATTGCTCTTACAGTATCAAAATTGTCACTGCAAATTTAAGGGCTAAAAACTTAATTTTACATCATTGTTAATGTTGATTAAATGACCTGATTTGATTACAGCAACTGAAAAGAACAAAGAAAAGATGAGTGTGACCAAGTGAAGCTGCAAAATATGACCTCAGTGAAGAACAGATAAAGACTGAGGTATGTTTTCCAAGTATGTAAATATAAATTTAGGTTTACTAATGAAGTGATGGCACAGGAGGAAGAATTCATATTGTCAGCAACACACTAATCCTCTGTCATGTGATGTATAATGATTTTGATACAATTGTAAATAGATGATGGACCGTTGGTGAAGTTATTTATCATTGTAATTTGATATCCTATAAGTATGTTGTGATAGTGACAGAAGCAAATACTCTAGTTAAATACAGTGCATAATTATGATATGAGATGATATTTTACCTTGTGGTCCTTTGAAACAATTGATAATGGTGATGTTTTGGTTTCAAGCTGAGATAATTTACATAGAGTATATTTCAGTGGAGTGTTGTTGAACCAAAGCCATAGTATTCACACTACAACAAAGAACAAAGGTGGATACAAAAAGAGCCTATTTGAACTCAAAAGTTAAAACAAGCACATTGTGTGAAGTACAGGAAAGCATGAGTCGGCAGGTGACTGTTGATGAAGCTACATTCAGTGTGGCTTAATTATGCATATAAAGATGTGCTGATGCCTCATTGCTGTGAGTAGATAAGGTTAAGGAATAATCATTAGTCTGTATGAAGGCACAGAACGTTTTTGGCAATCATGTATCTGTCTGATTGAGTGATGAAATTTGATATCTTTTTTTTACACAGAAGTGATGAAAATGTGACCTCATCCAGTGGCACACCTCCATTAGCTGATTAGTAGAAAGTACTTCCCCTGGGACTATACCAGCTGCTGCTTGCAAAATTAAAAAATGTAGAGCAATTATTGGTGGGGCTTTGTTAATCAGTAAGTAAAAGGTGTTGATAATTTTAAATGATATTGTGGAATAAAAATTCAACTTTTATCTCAAATCTGATTTGTGGTTTCCTTAGGCTAACATATTGCTTCCCATGTCAACTTGTAAACTCTGCTCTCAAGGTATAAAAGATTATCATACAAAATCAATGAATGGATGAGAAAGGATACATTTATGAGTTGGATGTCATATCTGCGTGTTTCATCTTAGTCTGCTGGAGCCTACCGTATTTTACTCGTGTATAAGTCGACCTTTTATGACCAAAAAATCACCCTCGACTTCTACACGAGTCATACACAAAGACCTGACCCAAGGAATCCAATAAATTAGCATAACAATTGCCTGAAGTCCGTTAGGAATACCGAGTTTATTAAACCAGTTCTAATTGTGTGCGAGCTTTGTCACTTTTCAGCGCATTCTTCATCAACAAAAAAGTTTGAAATAATAAATTTTAAGTGGCTCAACACAGAGCTACTGGAGCTGATTTCTATTGTGTCTGCGGACTGTAGGGCAGACATTTTTGCTTGTAGCTTCGCTGCTGTTTACGGTGCTGAACTTTCGTCTTCATCGAACGATTTCAGTAGCTCAATGACCTGGCAAATGTTGTTGTCTCGCGCGGTCTTGTTTGTCACACGCCATCGTTCGAAGCTCGTCGGTATTCTTCTGGTCTACTTAATCTCCTTTCAAACTCAACATTAAGATAAAGGTTGGTTAAATGCAAGAAGATTCCGTTTTCAATGTGATTTACAAAATATGGTGAAATACTTCTCCAGTAAATCAAAGTGCTCCTGTACTCAAGCCTACCTGTGGTTTTTGATCTATAGTCTTTTAATTAGCAAATTACATCCAATAAATTAATAACAATTAACGAATTAATTATCGACTTAGAGACACGTCACAATTAACATGGAGTTATTTAGCGCTAACTTCGGACAAGTTAGGCGTGGTTTTCAGAGGAGCGGCAATTTCCTTCCTGCTGTTTCCGCGTGAGTTTTAGAGCCTTCAAAAACCTGCCAGGTTTGTAGCTAGCAAACCAGAAACTTCGCAAATGAAGAGAGTTTGAACTTGTGAGGACTTTTCTTTCAAACGCACACGGAGCAAACTTCGACACGAGAAATACGTTTACCTGCGCGATTCACACCTTCTGTCATCGAATGTTATTTTCATGAAAGGTCAGTTTTATAGTTATTTGGGGGTAAAGAATTAGTTCGTAAAAGAAAACAGAAAGAAGAAAAATGGGGGAAGAGATGGTAACGTCTTTAACACAAAAGACAAATATTGCGCGCGCGTTAGGAGTTTGGCCTCACGCGTGTCACGAACCTTGCCCAGATCGTTCAGAAACCTCGTTCAGAAATAACTTTCGAGTGGATCTTCAAATTATGAAACTTTTAAAAAGAAGAAATGTGAAGTTGAAAGACATTAGTCACTTCAGATTTAAACTTAGTGCATTGAAGGAAAATGCAACCAAAATTAAGCATACGTCAACTTGAAGTTAATTTTAATGGCATCTTCTTATTAACCAATAAGCTGATTGCAATTATAAATATTTAGAGAGGAAAGTTTTTTAGCTTGCGTGATCGTCTTCTAGAGTCAGTGTAAATCATAATTGTGCGAGGTGAACTATTTCCCGGCTATCCATAAGCAACCAGAAGACATTGTTCAATAGGAAAGATAGTACTATGAAAGATGGAGAGGTAAAAAGCGTTCTTGTGAATGGTGAATACGCGCGGTAAAAGGCAAGCTTGAGAGCGCAAAGGAAAACGAAATCATGGAATCTATTTAAGCAACGGAGGAAGATTGTTTCTGGCCAGGTCGCAGTTGGTAAGATAGCGTAGAGGAAGCAAAACTGTAAAACCTTGCGAGAGCACGAAAAAAAGCGAGACATTGAAATCAGTGAACAGAGTAACCGCGCAGGAAAACAGTGAAAACTAACGCAACAATGCAAAGTTTTACTCTGCTGATTGTGAATGTTGAATGCGTGCGTGAAAAGGCGAGCTCACGGAATTGGTAAAGAGAACGCACAAGAGAACGAGATCATGCAAATAAAGGGAGAACACAGAGAAAAACGAAATTCTTGGAATTAGAGGAGATAAGAGTACGGAGAAAAGCGAGTCAGCGGGGAAAAGTTAGAGAGCAGAAAGCGCAGAGAAAGCGAATTGTGAAATGAGCAGGGGGTGCAATGCAACGAAAATAGACGAGAGGAATCAGCAGACAACGCAAAGAAAAGTGAAATCATGAAATTCAATAAGGGACGGCGCAGAGAAAGGCAAAATGGTGGAATAAGTGGATGTAGAGAAAATTGCATCAGTGCAGAGGGCGGAGAAAGATGGTTTTGCAGAAAGCGTAGAGGAAGCAAAATTTGGAGTGCTGCTGTGAGCGCGAAGAGACTCGAGTCATTCAAATAATCGCGTGGAAAACAGTTCAATCGTCTCGCTAGAAAGGTTTTATCTAAACTCTGCTGAGCTTGGAGCAGATCGCGGAAAAAGAGAGATAGAGATATTAATTTGGCATTCGGAAACAGCGAGACAGTGAAATCCGTGAAGAAATGACGAATTTGTAACATCATGGGAAAGCTGGTAAAAAAATGACCTATAAATATTTTTGAGTGCGAACGAACAATGCATTTGCGACATACCGCGCGCATTAATAAGCGAAATTTTTAAACAAGAGGAATTTACGGGAAGAAGTGGAATGGCCGAAAAGCAATGGAAAGTAATGGAAGGCGCAATTTATGACCAGGGAAAGACAAAATTTCAAATAGAGGCCGAGAAATCGATGCAAAGCACAGGGAAAAAAAAGGAGATCGAAAAGTCAGGCGTAAAAAAGGGACACTGTAATATTGTGAAATCAGACATAGCGCGAGAAAAGAATGAATAATAAAAATCAGCCAACGGAGAAAAGGGAAAATTGTGAAATTAGCAAATGAAACGCGAAAAAACAGAAGAAGGAACCTTTCGATTTTCCAAAAACTCTTGTGCACTCAGGATAAAAGCGGCTTGTGATGGCAAATTAATAGTTTTTTTTCAGTTATAAAGCTGTTTGAAATTAAGACATTATAAATTTCTTTTTACATAACAGGGTGGTACCAAGGATTCACTGAAAGCTCCCCTACTTCCTGTTTTCTGGCGATCTCAAGAGAGCAGCTATGTGCCCTGGTTCAGAGCACAGGCGAGGCAGCTTTTATAATCCCCAATGTTTTGCAAGCAACCACCTGCACAGCTTCGAGGAATGAGGAGTGTTAGATTGACGGACGCATCGACGTCTGACCCCTGAACACAACTCACGGACCAAGATATAGTCTCAAGTCTTTTTTCGGATCTTTAGAAACGATTCCCATGGCCACCTCCGTACCTTGCCAAAACGTTGTCTTTGATCCAGAGTACCCAACGAGCTTCGGCTGATGCGATGTAATGACTCAGGAAACATGACACAGCCCTATTTCGCTAAAGAGAAAGATGGTTAAGGCGAGGATCGCTGATGTACAAATGGGTAGACTCAGACGCTATCAAATCACTGAAGGACAAGCGAGCTACTCAAAAATCAGAAACAATAACAAAATGAACTGACGTGACATTACCGCACGAACAGCTTCGTCTCCAGGCCTCTTCTGCTGCTCGCTCTTCCTCGAGGGTGGGGCACAAGAGCTTGGTTGCGTTGCGACTGACGTCTGTGACTGAACAGTTTCTCATTTCCTTTCTACCTCCTCTTTCTCTTTTGAAATCTGATCTTCGTTCCGTCATTCTTACCTGTCTTTAACGCCTTAGTCTCGTTCGCAGAGCCGAGATCTACTTTGTCAGGACCACGGATTGCAAACATAGCTCTGATGGCAGCTGTCCCAAGTTTTCAAAGAAACCCGACGCTCATAACGATCTTTGATATTTTGTCCATGTTATTGACCAATCAGATTTCAGGATCGGAAAAGGGATTTCTTCGGCTTGTTTGCACTGAGACACTGGTTAAAAGAATCGCGCCTCTTAGAACGAGACTCCCAATATCCTCAAAGTATTGCGTAATATTTTAGAGGCGAGTGGATGGACATTTTACATTAGTTCTTATGTAATTTATCCTTCTTAGCCACAAGCAGATGCTTATGTTCAATGAATCCTTTAGGAAACAAAGATTTCAAGAAAAGACAGAAAAGGACAAGATCAAGTTTATTAACTATGATCCGGTACGTGACACATCGGTCTTTTTCAGCGGAAGAAGTGTGATTTTGCTTTGTTTGTATGTGGTCTTTTTTGTAAAAATTTGGTATTTTATCTTTTCTTTGATTTCTTTTTTAGGAAGCACCAGTACATTCAAGATACAAGCCAAGAGAAGCATTTTCAACCATTACCTTCGACACTCGTGACAGACACATTCTACACACTTCACACAATAGATCACACAACACCATGCAGCATCCGGATCATACAGACAAACGTCACAATGCAGTTCAAAAAATAACAAGCAGCATACAAATAAGGAGGACAAACGTCACACAACAAATCACAAAAAATAATGACGCGTAATAGATTACATCATATAGGCGATCACACAGCAGATCACGCACTATGCATAAAGGTCACACAAAGGCGCATAAGCTCTCTTCATAGTTGAGGTGGGGGCCTCTTCATAAACTTTAAATCAGAGGACTCTGGTTGGGGAAAGGTCTGAACAACTGACGAACTGACCAACAGCGACTGTACTGTTTAACATAACACTATCAGACAAATCACCCATGCAAATCACAAACAAACTAACTGAATTGCTTACCCAACTGCTGACTTAGACCTCCTTCCCCAACTAAACCAGACCTCGCTTTTAGGGCAGGATGAGGTGGTGGCGCCACGGAGTCTGCGTGGAGCAACGTCACGCTCACCTTTCGGGGTGTGGCGACCCCGCCCAATCCAAGTCTGCTTCCCCTCGGGATCCCATGCTGGACCCCTCCCCGGGAACAGCCGCTTTTTGCTTCAGATCAGCAATGCTTGTTATCGTGTATGTTTCATAGGCGGTGACATGTTGGTTTTTTTTTTTATCAAAGTTTTTGAAGCTTGTCCCCTCCTCAACTCGTCTCTTACAATTGTCTTCTCGCATATCACGTATCGGGGTCAATAAACGGGTTTTTAGCCCCTTGTTGGCACTGGTATCGCTGTTGCGACAAGGCGTTGTTACTTGCGCCGCTTACTTTCCTTTCTGCTTTGACACTGCTGTCAAAGGTTTTTCTCTCTTTTGAAATCGATATTGCGATCGTTTATTCGATAGAGCAGTATCGATATGGCTAATATATTACCGCCTCTGCTCCTTTAAAAATAGTCGATATCATTTATGGTATCACTAATTATGGTTATTATAGCTATCCTATCGGTTTGCAGTTGATAGTGATTAGGTCATTGTCAAGGTCAGCCATAGGACAGCTACGCTTTCTCTCTCTATCTCATGCCTTGCACACGCTAAAACTTTTCATGAAGAAAATGTTGAATCTAATGATTGTTAAATTGAACATTTAACTTCTAATCTCTTTTCAAGATTTTCATTTCAGGAATTAAGATCAAGTCAAGACGTCGACAAGTTGTAAATAAATTGAAGAGCAGAGGCGGCAATATCACTACGCGCTCAAGAGCTTCAACAAGGTGCAGATGAAAAGAAAGTTCCAACGGTAATATTTTGGGTGACGCTCTTAAGTCAGGCATCAAATCATAACAAAATCCATTATTTGTGTTGGGGTACGGTGGAGGGGGATTGGAGCTGAGTTCCGCTAAATGTTGGTGGCTTCCGATCCAACGGCATTTAAGAAAAAAAGAGACTTAGCGGTTCTGTAGTTGTCTGAAAGTTCGATTTTGTGACTGATTTTGAATTGATTCTCCTGAAGGTATCAGCCAGAAATAAGTCGTGCGCTTCGTTTATGTCCGCGTAATTTTATGCAAAAAATCTTGCTTGTCTAAGTCTTCTTAAAAACCTTTCCCTTCCTATCTTACGCTTCTTAACTTCACAATGACAATGACGACCTCGACTTAAAATACAAACTTTTACTGACGGAGACAATGAATAGCACACGTCATCGCTAATTCAGGTTTGATTAGCTGGAAATTTAGAACTTGGGAAGACAAATGAGACGATGTATTGTTCGAACCGGAAGTCGTCGAATTTTCTTGGAAACACTCAGAGAGAGTGCAGAGCGTGACATCTTCCTCATTTTCTAAGAATCCAGATGAGCTATTTTGGGGTGGAAGCTGACTCGTTTGACCTTTGAGATTTGTTATTGCTGCTTTTATTTAAGCCCAGTGATTCGGGATAATTTGTGAACATTTCTTTTTCGATATTCAACATTTATTTTGAACCATATCTCGTAATGCATGATTCCCAAGTATTAAACTCAAGAAAGCATCATTCCTTCTAATTCAACTGGAACTAAAAGATTCTATAGAGACTTGTGGGAATGTTTTAGCCGCTATACAGCCGACTCGTTGCTATTTGAAGAGTGCACACGAAACTTCTCTCTCCAAATCACTGGAGTGTTGAATTAATTGATTGATTCTTCAAAAATAAAACTGTTGTTATTTTAAAATATGGCTTTGTGTGCTTGTCTCTTTTCTTGTCCGAATAGATTTCTCTTCAAGTTTATTGGGGACCAAATATTTAATTGGACACCAAAAAAGATAAACTGAAGGATTACGAGGGAAAAGAAAAGAAAATCTATATTGGGGCTTACTGGCGCTAGCTAAGGAGGAGACATTTTTCGCGGGAAAATTTTGAAAATTTCTCCATGTGCAAATCACGTGTCATACTCTCTCTAACATGACGTCACCATACCGGACTTCTCTGCGGCTTTCGCCGAAGAGCAGCCATGTTGGATTGAAATAGTTTTCATCCCCTCTAATCTGTGTGCCTGAAACATCATCAAGAACCAAGAAGATAAGAAGAAGACCTAAGACTATCTAAGAATACGCTGTTGCTATTTGGTTTGTGTTTGTGAACTTTTTTCAAAGTCATAGTCCAAAGCAAAAGAAGACCTTCGTGAGAAGCTTGACTTGTCGCTAGCGTAAGAACGCTTACGCCACTATGCAGAAGGGGAAAACTGCAACTTCCCCGCCTGCCATGGTTATTCCTAGAGGACCATCACAACAGTATCCTTGTCATTTTATCCGTACGGTGAATGTGATGTTTGTGAACACTCATCGAAAGTAATCCAGATTTGATCTCTGTTCCTCGTAGTGTAAGCCTTTGTTATGTCGTGTCAAATTTTCCAAACCAAGTTTTTGTTGTTATCCTTCATTCCTTGATCACAGAAATGCCCGAGGCCCGCCTTCGTCACAGCAAAGTAGGTCTTGATTCTTTGAAATTTCCAAGTGTAATCTGTAGATCGTTGAAAGGGATAATCAGGACTGGGTGAAATTGCTGACGTTTGTACGAAAGAGGAAGGATTTCCGTTAATTTCAACGCAATTGATATTTTTATTCATTTCTTTAGGAGCTGAGGATTTCAATCAAAGACCACCACAGACTTTCCCGGTAAATAATTTTTATATTTTGTGATTCATGCCATATTTTCGTCGACGATCCCACCGATGCTGGTGTTTTGTTGTCTCGTGGAATTTTGTGACTTTCTTGTAGCACAACAGTTCTTCCCTAGCGGTCATGAATGAATTTCTGTGTACAGGTGTTTTGTTTCGTTTCTAAGGGACTGTGTACTTTGTTAAAAAGTGCTGAGTCACCTAAGATCTAAGCTTTTATAGTGGTTGGTCATAGTACTGTCCTGTTTGGTTATTATTTTAGGAAAGAATCTTTTGTATTTTACTTCCGTCAAGAGGTACGAATTTTGAATCGAAAGATCATTGGCAATATTTGTACATAATTTACAGGAGGAGGAGAAATTTTCCCAGTCGGGGATTTCAAAGAAGTGAATATATTTGTAATCCTTGAGTTTTGTTATTTCTTGTGTACTCTTTTCAATTTGTTGAAATATTTTATAATCGAAATGGTTCGCTCTTGCGGCGTTGATAGACTGAAATTTCTACGGGTCCTAGACATTCTTAATTTTCGAGCAAACATTGTTATCACTTCTATTCGATTGTGTGTGACAAACACAGTCCCTTTTTCCCGTTTTAAAACTGTTTTTGTGTGTCGTTCGGTAATCTTCGGTTTTCGTTCACGTGTTATTTGATTAAGCTAGGATTTTGTCGATCAGTAGCCTGGCTGGTTCGAGACGGGGGTGGGGCGAGAAACCGGTGGCAGAATAGATTAAATATAAGTAGAATTTCTGTTCAGGAAGGGAAGAACTTGCCGGAAACTGAAACTTCAACACATTTTGAAATCCCCATCATGGACATTCCTTTAAAAATAGTTTGATTTTAAAATGTTGCGTTATTTTAATCTGGTACTGCTTGTTGTACAGAAATTGTGAAAGGACTAAACAAAGCCGAAAATAATTTAGCATATAACCTCAAACAAAAGGTAACCTGAAGTGGATTGCTCAACATAATTTCAAAGTTGGTAGCATTTTGTTGTACAATGTTTATAAGAAGGGGAAATAATATTAAGTGTCTCTCTTTGAGTTCTATCCACCACAACTTTGAACCTGGTCTGAAAGACTTAAACTTTTGCTAAATGTTTGTGTTTTCACCACAAATTGCCTGCTTTAATTATTATTTCAGATAAAATATGTTGGCCAGTAAATGTTTTTCCTTTGTCTCTAAACTCTTATGCAGAAGGCAATTTTTTTTTGGTTTGGAAATGAGTGTGAATGCTTAAGTTTGAAAGGTTTCCTTTTTAGTTTTGAAAAAGCTTAGTGACAAGTATTATTGTACACAACACATCATTCTTATTTTTAGATAACCTACTTCCTGTACTCAATAACTTGAAACATAGAGTCTGGCTTGTTGGGTCTTCTCTTTGCTGAATTTCAATTTCAGTTGTAAATGTGACAAAACTGTCATTTGCCCATTCTTGACCTATTTTTTCGAACAAAGCAAATTGCAGCTATTGTGCTATTAATCAAAAGTGGTATTTCTTTTAAACCAGTAACTTTGGTCAGACCTGGCTGATTTCATGGCTGGCATCTTCAGTTTAAAAATATTTCTTTGCTTGTGAATTGTTGGTTCCTCCATGTTACTTTCTCTTATGGCTCCGGTCTTGCTTTTTTTTATATCAACTACGTTTGTTCTGCTTATTGCTAGAGCAATCAGTGCCTGTCCATAGTAGCCTTTTTCTTTAATGAGCTTAGACTTGTGAAACTTCTGTTTGTACAGGCAGGTGACAAAGATTGTCAGCTTCACAGCTTGTCACAAGGCAAGCCAAGACTTACATGTACTAGGCTGGAAAACTTATTTTAACTAACTTGAAATTTTCCAAGTGGTATTTTAGACATGGTTATTTGCAAGATTTGTCAATCTTGATGGATCTAAACCTAGCACATGACATCAGCATTTTCTTGCCTTGAGGGTTAATCAAACTTTTAAGTGTAATAGATCCCAGGTTAATTTTAGAAGTCAGTTTGAATTTAGACCAAAAGAAACTCTACAATTGGGCATTCTATTTGTCTCATAGTTCGTTTGTGGCAGTTTGTATTGAATATGAATAAAGAGCCTGTCTCTACAGAGATGCCATTCTTTAAAAGGTTTCTTTCCAAAATAGGGAAGGTGATAAATGTCCCTTTTAGTTCTTGATTTTCATGATTACTTGGACTCTGATAAAGATTTCATTTTTTTTGTGTGAGCAGTGTGATAGAAACAGCGAGTTACTGAACTGCTGGGAAACAGCTATGTGTTGTAGTTCAATTTTCTTTTTGGCTAAGTTTTTGACCCTCTCATTGTCAAATTCATTATCATACTCTACCATATGATCCACAAAATTAATGTGAAGTCATTTTTTAAACAACTACTGTTTGTGACCCAAAATGGATGAAAAAATGTCTGTCTATTTTTGTTCCGGCAAGTTTAGGAAGGGCCACCTTGAACAGATCTTTAATTATGACATTGCATCCATGGAAATGATCAACAAGGAACAAAATTTATTGCAAGTCAAGTCAGAGTTCAGAGTGAAGGGAATCTCTTGTCATTTGAATTTTTCTCTGTGCACATGTTAAAAAAAACAGATGAAAATTCAATGCTTTTTTTCCATATCAGTTGTGAAATTTTATATTGTATTACCAAGGTTAGGGCTTGAAATTAGTTTTTTTTTCCTGATAGTTACTTGGCTCCTAAATTCTTCAAAGTGGTAGCCAATTGAAAAAAAGTTGGTTGCTATTTTCAAAGACAAACAAAACCTTTTTTTTTATGCTATCAATGTTCTAGATGGACCCTCCAAAATTAAGTTAGGATAAAGATCTTTAATGTGCTACAAAGTGAACACTAGGATGGATGATATACAATGTTCAAACTCACCTAAATCCAAGATGGTGTCTAGTTATCAATTGAGATGCATGTGCTGTGTTTTGGAAACAAACTTAATGAGGAAGTTTGCTGCGGATTTATCTTTGCAAATCTTTTTAATTCACTATATCTCTAGGTAAGGTTATGATGAAACATTCTAGTCACCAATTTGGTGACTAATTTTCAGGATTTGGTTGCAAAAGTGGAAAATTTAGTCGCATTGGCCCCTGTATTAGGTGCAATTTCACACCTTGAAGGGGTACTTCTTTGATTTTACAAAATTAAATCCTTAGAACTTGTCAATTAAGATATTTATAAACCCCAGATATATCAGGGATTCTTGAGAAGCTATGTGTTGGTCCCCTCTGCTGTTATGGGCAGGTCTTCACCACACTTTATTTAAATTAATTTGTCATTTTTTTTTCTCAAACATAGATGGGAGGGCAAATGCAGCCAAATGTTGTCATGGGACCACTACCCAACCAACTGCAAGGACCGCCGGGTCAGCAGTCTCGCATGCCAAATCAACCATTCTTTCCCCATCAGAGGCCTATGAGAATGCCAAGACATCAGACCCCAAATAATCCCCCTCTGTACTCCTCACCCCCTTCAGGGCAATTTGTACAATTTGTTAATCCACAAGGAGCTCCTCAAGCCTTCATACCACCAGGACAAGGTCATCCGCAATATCATGTAAGTGTGAACTGCTTTGATTTTATGTTTTGGCATCCATTGGCATTGTTCAGGATGAAATTGGACTAGTACAGTGTATTTGTAATAGAGAGTGGCTTGGGCTGGTTTCTGTGTGTGGGGAAAACTCAAGATGATTAGCAATTTTACCATTTCCCAACCCTCCCAGATTTTGCCAATATTGGGAGATTGGCTGATGTTTGTTGTTATAGGTTGCTGACACTGTTATGTTTGTGTTCTGGTGCTAAGCAATAAAAGGATTGGTAGGAAGCTAAAATTATCATTTATGTCCCTAGCATTGAAAAGAGGTGTTTTTATATTTCTTCAATGATCCCAGATCATTGCATAGATTATGGACTTGTCACGAAAATAGTAACACTCCCAATTTTACTGATTTTTGGCTGACCATCCTAGGCAAGTGGGTGTGTCTGCTATTTTGAATTTTCACACCTTGCAAAAATCTGCAACCATTGGGAAACAGTGAAGTTCCTGACCATTTGGTTTTTTATTGACATATGGAAACCAGCCTTTAGAGTTGAGAGAATTTTTGGATGCCCGTCATAAGCCCTACCATTTCATGGTTGGGAGTGTTTCTGTGGTACTCTGTAGTTACCATGGCCTCAAAATACAGAACCAAAATTTTTCTAAATGTGTAGTTCCAGAAAATATCCATACCCTCACCATGAAGGGAATTGGAAATTCCAGAGAGGTAGGGGGGTCAAAGTCCCAGGAAATTCCAGAGGGGATGGGGGGTAAGAGGCGAAATTTTCGTCTAGAGGGTAGGAAGTCAATCGACTTTCTTTGTATGTCAATTGGCGCCACTTACCTACTTTAGTGGGACGTTCTGAAGTTTAAGTTGTTAAATTACAATGCTTCTAACAGTTCTGCAGCCAAAGAAAGTTTTCTTTTATCCTTGTAGCGCTTTGGAACATAAATAACATCAAATAAAGAAGAGAATCACTTTGTTTTTTGAACGGAGCTGCCATTACTCGTTACCAGTCTCCAAAGATTACAACCAATAGGAGTGGTTACCTAGGGATTTTCCTCGGTCATAACACGTTTCGCATTCGTAAAATTTACAAATAACTGTCTGATGCTGTTTTTTCAAAATTTAAGTTAAATCTCACAGATCGATCCTGCAGTCTCGTTTTTTGAGCGGTTCAAAAGACTCAAAACGTCTCACAGTCTTGAATTGTTTGCAAAGCCGTTTTGGGGTCTTAACATTGGTCTCGCAATTAAAACACTCAAAAAGTTTCGGTCTTGCGAAAAAAGAAAAAAAAAAAAAACGCTGGTCCCACTGTCTCGCAAAGTTTGGCATAAATTTACCATTCGCTACCTCTTATTGACTCCAGCCATCTCTTAATTTTGATCTGCACTGAGCTTAATTCTGTTGCATCATAATGTGTAGGAGACTTGATGATTTCTTTATGGCTTACTTGCTTGCAATGTTACAATGAAGGATAAGTACAGGCGTACCGTAGTTGAAAACAGTTGATAGTAACATTGAGAAACACTAGGATCCAGGGCTTTGTATATATGCGCGTGGGACTGGTAACTAGCCAAGGTTTGTTTATGCACAATCGGACGAAATTATCGACCCGCTGTTAACAAGAATCAATGCTTGTGTGAAGAAATTTTACATTAGAGGCTGGAATTTGGAAAGATGAGTTCAAAATAACTTACTGCTGACTCGGTTTTCTCTTTTGCTCTCTTATTTATGACACAATTTTGTACAAATTTACGTTGCTTAATGTGATTTCGAACATTTCCATTTCAAGTGCACACAATTTTCTCAGTACATTGTACAAACTTAACAGTTCAAAAGTGTTTTGTTGCGACTTGTACGGTTTTTTTCTCCTTTCGTGTACTGAAAATACTGTGTTAAATGTTTAAGGATAAGTATTGTATTTAAAAATAAAGCAAACGTTAAGTTTAAGCTAGTTAGCGACGTTTACCTTGTGCATGTACGCCATCTCTCGAATATACACGCGACAAAATCACACTTCCCTCTTGTTTGTTGTTTGCTATGAGAAAAAAATATATTTCCAGGGGGTATAGGGGGTGGTAGAAAATTCTTTGGAAATTCCAGAGGGGTGGGGGGGCTACCACTGCTACCCCAAAATGGAAAATCCAAAGGGGTGGGGGGTCCTATATGAAATTCCCTCCGTGGTGGGGGTATGGATATTTTCTGGAACTACACAATTGATTTTTTAAATTATTTTTTTCAATCAATTTTTAAAATTATTTTACTAATTAAAACTAAACACCTGTATTTATTAGCCATAGTTAGCAGCTATATGGGGGCCAGTGACCCTAGAAGCTTGGCTGGACATACAAACAGGAACAGGCAAAGTTGTAAAAAATTTGAAATTTTTTTTGTGGGCAAGGGGAGAAAAATATTTGGGATGCACAGTTTTTAGCTTCATTTGCCTTAGTATATTGTACTGGTAGTTTTCACTGTCATTTAATTCAAATCTAAAATTAAAACTATTGAATGCCTGATGCCAAAAGATCCAGCCATTTTAGAATATTGATAACTGAACAATTTGCTGAAGTTTCAGACCTGTAGGGTTTTCCATTGATGTGTTGATAGCCAAAATGCCTTACATAAATGTATAGAGCTCAGTATGAGATGCAGTGTTGGTACTCATTCAGGGGGTACCAACATGGCAGCCATGAAGTAACACAAACATCTGTTGTCTTTTTTCGCAATTTAAGTGATTGGTTATCCACTGTGAACTTGCAAACATTCATTTGGCCTTCTGCTTTTGCTATTTACTGTGTATAGTTATACAAGTTATGGCTTGAATTCTGCTTGTAGAGTATTTATACACTACTGTCTTTTTATGCGCAGGTTGATTATGGGCAAATTCCTGGTCCACCTCAGATGCAGTACAGACATCAGCAACCCATGCCAGGGCCATTTCCTCCTGTATCAGGTCCTTCCCAGGGTCCTGGCCATTTTGTTTTTACTCCTCAACAAACAGGTTATCCAGTGGGACAGCCAAGTCATATGTATATTCTTAGGGCTACTCCACCTCCCATGAATACATTACCGCAGTACAGTCCTAGTCAAAATTTTGAGCCACGCGCACGGGAGAGGAAAATAATTCAAATAAAAGATCCAAATAGTAACAAAGATGTGACACAGGAAATTCTTAATCGTCAACCATCAGGAAGTGTATCAGGAAGTGCATCAGGAAGTACTGGGGGTACACCAACTAACACCCCAGATATATCAGGACAGTCCAGTAGTTCAAGTACACCTCCACTAACGTCACAGCAACAAGATATGCGAGCACAGTTTGCAGCGCAGGTAGCTGCAACTTTATCTAGTGACACAGATAAAAACAAAAAACCAGGAGACATAATTATACAGAAGCCATCAGTAAATAATAAGTTGACTGTAGATGCTTCCAAATTAAAGGATGTAGCTGATACATCAAAAGATGATTTGTCAAAGCAAACAGAAATTAGTGCAAACACAACTGCTTCCACAGAAGCAAAATTGGCTGAACAGCCAGTTGAAAAGAACTTAGGTACACAATTAAAAGAGGAGTCCAAATCAAGACAACCCAAAGAAGCTGTTCAGGGCTCTAAACTTGGAGAAGGAATTTCAGTAGACACTCCATTAGTCAGTTCAGTTGATGCAATAACATCCACAAAAGAGATAATCTCTAATGTTAGAGTAGAAATTTATACACCACAGGATTTGAGCAACAAAGAAATTCAACAGAACAATGCATCAGCCACTGAAGTTGTTAAACCTGTGGTTGAACCTGTGGAGGTAATTGTGAAAAAGCCAGAAGTGGCTTCAGAAGAAGAAGAAAAATCTTTGAATGGACCAGTTGTACACTCTAGTGAGGAAGTAGAAGAAACAGAAGAGGTGATCACTGTGGACACAAATGTTGAGATTGAAGCTCCACCGGTGGAGAATGTTTTAGAACCTGCTGTGGACAGCAAGGCTGCTGAACAGGACAATCAGCAAGCTCCCAAAGTTGAGCCAACCCTGGAGGAATCTGCAGAAGAAGAAATTATGCCCATAGCTCAGGAATCAGATGGTGGGGAAGTTGAGGAGGGGGTGAATGGGCATGAGGCTGACGCCAAAATGGCAATTGTTACAAAGAACTCTACTGATGTTCAAGGAGCAGGTTTGTAATTCCACTCTATACTCTTATCCCATAAAAGTAGATTGTGTTGGTGGCAGCATTTATAGTACAGCTCAGAGGTATTTGGCCCTAAGGGCATGTGAAAACTGTGATAAAAACTTTAAAAAATGCACAAGAAAGAAGCTCATTAGTATGTATGAAGCACTCTTTTGTATTACCCTTTGTTTAACTTTGAGTGGTGTGTTAGATTTATAGCAAAGGAGGGGTTCCAATGTTGGTGACATTACATGGTTTTTTACTAAATTGTTTGGCGTCAGTTAATTTTTGAAATGGCTTGTCTACATTGGGAAGAAAAAAGAAAAAGTTTTTGACTTGCTGGGTACCTTTTTAGAAAGCAAACAAGATCTGGAAATTTCAAGTTCATTAAAGTGATAGTTGTTAAAGTTTACAGCTAGCAGCTAGCAGCAAAACTTGAATTGAGAAAGATGTTTTTTCATCTTGTCATGAGTGTGGATCAAAGAAAAAATTCTGAGTCCCCATGAGGAATGGAACCTCAGATCTTCGGATTCTGCGCTCTGATGCTCTACCACTGAGCCGCAGAGACTCCACTGCCATGGAGACTCCAATGTCTATTAAGAAGTTCATATGACACGTGTCCTGCATACTGCTAGGATCAGCAATGTCAATAGAATATCTTTCTCTATTTTTTTACTGAGCTCAAAACTTATCATCTCTCTTAAAACTTGAATTGTCATTCATTGGTCTGTAAAGTTATGTGAAATTATTTGCAGTTTCTTGGAACAGGAGACATTTTTGTAATGTTTTACCATGATGATTTTAGGTTCATAGGATAAGTGAAGAAAGTGAGATTCCATTCTGTTGATTGCAGTTAACATCAAGCTTAAAAACATTTGTTTACAAGTAGGCATAACCACTGCTACTGTTCAAACAATTTGACTCCTTCTATTTACTTGAATCTTAAGTGTGAATGTAAAAGTACGACTTAGCAAAACCATTTTTCTTTTAAACATAAAGTCAATTAAGCTAGGATTCAAATTCTCAGCCCTGCATAGTTGATTCTTTGGATCCAGTGGCTCAGAGCTACTTTATTTGGTTTCCCTGGAGAGTTTGAACTGCAGTTCGACTGATACAATGAAGAAAGTAGTTTGAACCTCTTTAACAGTAAATTGGGATCTTATCAATTACCAAACAGTGCTTAAAAGATTGGGAGATAATGAATCTAAAAAATTTGATCCTTGATATATTACTCTCCTTTTTCTCTCTATAAGTTGACACTGTATATTAGAATTTTCATCCAATTATTTCTTTGAGCTGTGGAGTTTTTATTTTTTTTTTAATTTTTTTTATTTATTTTTTTACTGACCTGACTTTTTAATCGCAAGCTTAATGCACAAAGAACTGTTCAAGGGGTTATATCTTATATTGAGAGATTATTTCAGTTTAAGGCTTGACTTGAAATTGATCCACACCTCAAGAGAACTTAATTTCTTGCATTCCATCCATTTGAAAATGCATTGTTGTATGTTTGTGGTTTTGGTCAATCAAAAAGCCTTGGTAAGAGTCCTGTTTTGAAAATTGTTCAATGGTAGGAGTGTTAGATTTGGAATTAGGATTTAAGTGTTAAATATTAATTTTGTTATGGTCCCTATGAATGTGGGATTTACTTAGTTAATTATGCAAGAATTTGATATTGACAAGGTGACCCCATGAGGTCATATTCTATTTGTGGGTGACACACAATTGAATGCCAAGTATTTGAAATTGGGCAATACACTTTGAGCAATCAGTTTTCTCACCCAGGCTGTCTGCTTTAATACTGCTGAACATGAGGATTGCTCCACTGGCTTGGCAAGTTTTGGCTTCCTTTGTGTGAATTGATGGATTTGTCAATTGAGATTCATTTTACAAGGGAGCAAAGATTTCACAATATGCATGTCATTTCCATATGAAGTCAGGCAATGATCAAATGGTATATCCGCTCATGAATGTCTACATGTTTTATCACAGAAAGTGAAACCATATGGAAGAATTTGCCTAACTAAAAGGTTTTTTGCCTTCTAAGACTTAAAATTTTAACCTATCATCAAAAGAATTTAAGGGAGAGGTAAGGTAAACAGATTTAGATGCTTGTGTACATTTTAGTGATGAGTTACAGCTTTGTGCAACCCAGATATATATTGCATGTGGTAATTATTCAGAGTCTTTCACTGATAAAGTAAAAATTTAGGGTATGGAATTAGTGAAGCAAAATATTTTACAAAAGGAGTCCTTTTTTGACCTTCATTTTAGTGTTATGAAATGATAATTCTCAGAATTGAAGTCCTCTTTTTGAAAGTTATGTCACTTCCTGTCATACTGCTGTTTGATTTCAATTTTTACTGGGTCAAATTACAGATGATTAAGTTTGTCTTCACTGATTCATTTTTTTTTGTGGTCAATTAGAATCGTTATGCTTGTCTTTGTGGTTGATTTCTAAGACAATTTTGCCTTCTTTGTAAGTCTTATCACCATGCTCTTTAATAAGAGTGGAAAATCAAGAGCAAATTACATTGTAGTTTCCTTACTTCACATATCAATTGATACACGCCTGCAGAGCAGTTATTTAAGTTGTTGTAAAGATAGATAGTTTATATGTACCATACCTTAAACTACTTTGATTTTTTTTAATTTCTGTACACTAGCCATCATTCAATGCCCAGTTGGTATTATTTGTAATGTTAACTCCATGTGTTTTCAAGAGGCTATTTGACATTTTTTTTGTAAACAATTTTATGTACTGTACTAAAGTTTAATTTTGAAAAATAATTGGAATGGAAGAGATCCATCACATGTTAATCTTACTTCAAAGTTTAAATGTTCAAGACATTTTGGCTGCTTTATGCCAACAAGATTTAAGAAAATTTTGCTGAAAAGTTCACTCGATGTTGTAAAACTTTTGAAAACAAATTTTTGTAGACAAAAGTTATAGAATCAATTTAAGATCATACTTTAATTTGGTCACTTGATACAGATACTAATACCATGGTATGCAGTATTGCCATATGGCTTCTTGGAAGGACTCAGACTGTATGAAAATGAATTAAACTTGATTGAATTAATTGTGTGAAAATGAGACAGGCGAAGTCTTGTGCTCAGTCAGTTTAAGCCCCATGTAATGAAATTTGGGTAATCCATTCAGATTGCCCAGTCTAGTTGTTTTGTGCTAGCTACAAGTTTTATATTGCTTCCTTTTGTGATGTTGTAGGGAAAGACATGAAGAAGAAAAAACAGAACAAGCGTCTGAAGGACATGGAGAAACGGTTCTCAGAGAAGGGAGTGGATCTTATGGATGCTTATACAGAGAAGCCTGTTAAGGAGGAGGTAAATACAGCATAATTCAGTTGAATTAGAAAATGTGAACATGTGCATTCTTGTAGGTAAATGTTTTTCTTGCAAGAATGGGTGATACTGCCTTTTCAAATGAATGCAGTAGTGAGTGAGATACTGACTTTAGTCTCTGACGTTGGTAACTGTATTGATACTGTGACATCCTTGAGCTAGTTGGCATGTCATGATCCATTTTACCAAATACAACAATACAGACAAGCAAGTCATATATTCCAATTATTGACAAAAACTTTGTCCTGGCAATTGAAATTTGGGAGAATCGACAACATCAGTTAATTAACAACTTGTTTCTAATTTTGCGTCCCCTCTGTTGATGACCAGAAGAATGTAAGCTCCAGAGGGAAAGGGCATGGCTACAAAAGTCATGTGCAGTATCAAAAGTATCAAATTCAATGCTTTTTGTATACACGGACATTTCAAACCAGATTTTGCTATCGATTAAGTGAGATCAAGGGTACCATTACTGAAATAACAAGAATAGTAATCCTGAGAATTTGCAAATTTCCCCATTTGTGATGGGAGTGTAAATATAACATCATAGAGATGTTTTTTGTAATGAGGATTGACAGATCTTAACTTGTGTGAGGCAGCTTATCAGTTGCTGGCTCCTCCAACATGACCACTGGTGAAGTGTTTCTTTACTTCGTGCTACCTAAGTTTTATACCAAGCTCAAGTACCTTGTGCTTTATTTGAAGGTCCCTGAAGACACTGAGGAGCCTGCAGTAGAAGAATCTAAAGAAGAGGAAGAGGCTGTTGAAGAGGTTCTGTCAGAGGATGAAACATGGGAGGACAAAGAAGGTATATGACAAAGGATGTTTAGGGTGTCCTCTGCGATTGGGGTGCCTTGTTAGTCCCTCATGGGACTGGGTACCCTGTTTCTGCCCTTCGACTTGTGAGATTCTTTCTAAAATTGCCTTCTTTTTCTCCTAATGAAGTGGTAGAAAACAGTTAGATTGTGGCTGTGTGGGAAACTGTAGGGTTGGCTTTTTTATGTCAATTTTTATTTTTGTGTGAACTCTAATATTCTCAAAGTGTTTGTTCCATATAAACACTTCTTAATCTAAACTGAACTGAAGTTGTACCCATTTTTCATCATCAATTTTCTGAGCTAGGGGAGACAGTCATAAATATTTGCGATTTCCATTTTGTTGCAAATAAAAAAGTGTCGTCACTGGTTTGTTCTAATTTGTACTCTCAAGGGTCTAAATGTATGTCACTTCCATTTCAACAGAATCATCCTTTCCAGACCTTGATGAAGAATCTGAGCGACAAGATGGGGGAAAGCTCACATACGAAAGGGATTTCTTGTTGCAGTTTCAGTCCAATCCAATGTGTATGTTGAAGCCAGAGGGTCTGCCTGATTTAGAAGTTGTTCTTGGCCAAGCAAGAACTCCCTCCAAATCAGGATTTTCTCATAACAGGTAAAACAGGCCAGGCAGTGCTGATGTCTCTCAGAAAAAATCCTTTATACAATGATGATTGTTGGTTCTTTGCCCCCATAGCTCTGAATTAACTAGCTTTACTGAATGGCTTTCCTTTCTTGCTCAGTAATCTTCCTATTCCCCTGTACATTGTAACTTAAGGGTGTGGCATTTTCCATTACTTTGTTCTCATCATTGGTTCTTCTGTACAGATGTAAACTGACAAGATAAATCCATTGATTTGGCTCTACTCTGCTGTCACTGATGCCAGCAGTTCCACATGTTTTAAGGAATTTTCTGTGGTTAAAGCACTGCTGTTGAGGGAATGATTTTGTCCATTCTAAAACTAAGAGCTATTCCTGGAAATGGCCAATACTTGATTTCACACTAACTGTGTCACCTTTGTTCCCTTTGGATTAAAGGTTAATGTACTTGACTGGGCACTGATAGGTTTAAGTGTTTGCTGTATTTGCACCCTTGAGTTATGACCCCTTAAGCCAAAGTGTAAACTTGTCAAGAATTACAATGAGGCCAGAATATACCACTGTTTGTGATGCTGCCAGTGGCATTTGTTCATTTTAAGTTGTGTTTTTACTCTTTCTGTTGCAGGATGCAACCCAAAGATGGTGGTGAAAATATGTTTCTACCTGCTTACCTTAGGCAAAATTCAAGAGTAAGTCACTCAGTGTAGTTTTGCTTTCTCTGTCATGTTTGAACTATACAAGATAGGAGACATTGATTATACTCCAGCTATCATTAAAAAAAACAACAACAACAACAAAATATGTGATAAAGTGAATTGAGTGAATTGTTTGGTGTAACAGTGATCTTTAAGAAGACTAGCACATGGTAGCAGGAAGATCTACCTGCTTGTAATGCATGTAGTTACTACTTGTAGCCTTCACATAGAACATCTTTGAAGTCCAAACATACATCCTCAAATTGGTTTTCACCAAGGAGCATCTAAGCAACATAAGACAGACCTTAAAATGTAGGAAAATCAAAATCTATCCTAAGGTGCTTAGATCTCCCTTAGAAGAGGAGTCTCTCCAGGCCTTCAAAACTTCTTGCCCCTTTTCTAAAGTACCTATTTGTACCCAATGTTTTTGAAACTATAATAAGAGATGTTTCATGTGCACCCATCAATGATCAAATGGGAGGAAAATTCCTAACAGTTATCTTCCTAAAAATTGTAGAATAACTCCTCAAACCAAAGAGCGGGACGTAGAAATGTTCCACCCAAGAAAGTGATTGATCTTGCTCCAAAAATAGCTAGCACAGAGGTAAGTGTAGGTATATTTTGATATGTTAAGATGTTGTTTAGTATGTCTTAACTGTGTAGCAAATTAAATAATCCAGTAGCTTAATGTTTTATTCACAGTTTTCTTTACAGGGGGTCATTAACCTATAGTACAAGATTTTAAATTGCACTTACAGTGTTAATTGTCACTGCAAATTTTATGGCTGATTCCTTCATTTTATGTCATTGTTTATGTTGGTAATGACCTAATTTGATTGCAGCAACTGAAAAGAACAGAGAAAAGATGGATGCGACCCAGTGAAGCTGTGAAAGATGGCCTCAGTGAAGAACAGATGAAGACTGAGGTATGTTTTTCCAGTATTTAAATATAAATTTGGGTTTTCTATTGAAGTGACGGCACAGGAAGAATTATCATTGTTAGCAACACACCTATCCTCCGTCATGTAATGTATGATGATTTCTGATGCGATTGTAATAGATGATGGACTTGTGGTGAGGCTGTTAATCATAATATTGTAATTGGTTATCTTAGGCAAACTGTGACAATTAACTACTGTGCATAATTGTGATTAGAGATTATATTTTTCCCCATGGTCCTTTGAAACAATTGATAATGGTGGTGTTTTGGTTTCAAGTTGAGGTAATATATATAGATTGTATTCCAATTGAGTGTTATGGAACCAAAGCAATAGTATTCACAGTAGCTTATGAGAACAGAGGTGGATACAAAAATTTGAACTCAATTGTTAATACGAGTACACTGTGTGAAGCACGGGAAAGCATGAGTCAGCAGGAGACTGTTGATTTAGTTCTTGCACTGCTATGGTTGAGAAGGAAGGGTAAGTTTCTTAGACCAATCACAGGCAGAACTAATTCTTTCCCAGATTACATTTGTCACTTAATTAAAAAATTGCTCATGAAATGTACAATTTAATGGTGGTTTTTTGGTCATTTTCAATGATTAAACTAATCCATGGAGTTGAATTTTGTATTTGGCTAATTAGCAATGAGATCACTTTCATAGTATTTAGTTGATTTTCACAGAGCTTTTATTTGTGTCCCCAGGAGATACTCCGCAAGGTGAGGAGTATTTTGAACAAGTTAACACCCCAGAAGTTCCAGACATTAACACAGCAGATTATTGACTTGGAAATTAACACACAAGAGAGATTGGAAGGTGCTATAGACCTCATATTTGAAAAGGTAGGTTTTATAAATATTTTATTTTCCTATCAGAGTCAATGTCATTGTTTGTAACCTTTAACCTCTCATGCTGCTAGTGCTACCCTTGTGCCACAAGAACCTTATTTATTTAACCCTTTCACTCCCAAGATCTCATTAGTAGTTTATCCTTGCTGTCTGCTGTACAATTCTTGTGATGTTAGTTCTTAGAGTTTGATGCTGGATCAACTAATGATCCCCTCTTTGAGATATTATCCTTTTGTTCTCATCACTTGTCTGCTTGATAATGTTTTGATATTTTGAGGCAAAATTCTGTCTAGGTCACTCATGGTAATGAAAGGGCAATTTATCCTCTACCAAACTCCTAGTTACTGCCTCATCTAATCGTGATCTTTCCAGTCACAGTAAAAGTTAGATATTCCTACAACACTGGATAACCTGACAGTGTATAATTGTGATTGGGATTTATGGTAATGACACTTGATATTGCACCTTTGTGTTTTGCAGGCCATTGATGAAGCTGCATTCAGTGTGGCCTATGCAAACATGTGCAGATGCCTCATTCCTGTGAGTAGAAATGATTATTGTAGGCTGTATGAGGTCACAGAATATTTGTAGCAATCATGTGTCTGTTTTATTGAGTGATAATGTGCGATTTCTTCTTAAAACAGAAAAAAGTGTCAGTAGAGAAGGATGGGACAACAAAAGAATTGACCTTCCGCAAAATTTTGCTCAACAAATGTCAGAAAGAGTTTGAAAAAGAAAAGTCTGTTGAGAAGAGAATTCATGAGAAACTGGAGGAACTCACCAGCAAGGGCCTGAGTGTAAGTTCATGAATTTGAAGTGTCTACAGTAAACTTTCTTTAATATCTGTTCTCATCAGTGGCCATCTGTAATCATGCACGTATTTTACATGTTGTCACACTAATGTTGTCTGCAAACCTAAACTGTACTAGTGAAGTTAATTACCAGTGGAATCATTTACTACAGCTGTGTGAACTAAACATGCTTTGGTTTTGTGTATTTCAAATGGATCATACAAAAAAAATTTATGTAATATCCGCTCAAGTTATCAAGCATTAGGGATTTAGCATTGAATTTTCTTGGGTGTTTTTTGTTGTTGTTGTTTTTTTTTACAGCTTTATTTCTTAATGCAACGCATTAACCCTTTAACTCCTATAGGTGACCAAGACAGAATTTCTCCTTACAATATCACTTCAAAATCAACCAGATGAGTGATGAGAATAAATAAAAATATCAATTTGGGGATAATTAGTTGATCCAATACTAAATTCTCTGAACTAACATCATAAGAATTATATGGCTGACAGTGAGGAGAATGACGAATTTGATCTGGGAGTTAAAGGGTTAAATACAAGACTACCACAACTAAGTATACAATGACATTAAAGAAAAAGGTACAGCATACATACAATGATATAGCAGTGTACTTGCTGTATTTTTGGTCTCTGATGTAAAGCTGTTATGATTATCATGAATTATGAAGAAGAGTGGATAGAATCAGGGCTCTAAGTTTCCTTTTTCAAAGAGTCACCTTTTGGCAACCTTCAATTATTATAGTAAAATGGTGCTATACCAAAAACTTTGTTTCCCCCCCCCCCCCCCCCCCCCCCCCAAAAAAAAAAAAAAAAAAAATTCTTATACCAATCAGAGGACACTTCATGTTGTGTTACTAGCATTTGTGTGTATGATAATTCGACCAAACATCAATAGATTTTTCAAATTTTCTTTTTCAAATCTATTGGTTGCCAATTGCCCAAATTTTAGTTCCTAGGTATAGTTTTTACTTGCCATGGTGGCCAAAACAATCAGAACTTTGAGTGCTGAGAATCTCTGACAACTGCTCTTTTTATATGTACCTCACTACAGGAGGAGGAACTTGAAATGAAGAAAAATGATCTTCGAGATGAAGAGACCCAAGTCAAACGACGCACATTGGGAAACATCCGCTTCATTGGAGAACTTTTCAAACTTAAGGTTGGTCCTGAGTGTTTCTTCTGACCTTTTTTAAGTTGAAAACTAAAGCTGGGCAGTGTTAATGCAGTGAATGGGAATATATTGATTTTTTTGGAAAGCATTTGCCTCTGGTAAATATTTGGCCCATATTCAATACAGTGAGAAAGAAATGTTTTATTGTATTTTGTTTGCTGAAAATGACCTGTAAGTTCAATTGTCTTCTGGCTTGTTATTGCAGATGCTGACTGAGAGTATCATGCATGACTGTGTAGTGAAGCTGTTGAAGAGTAACGATGAGGAGGCCTTTGAATGCCTGTGCAAGTTGTTAGTTACCATTGGAAAAGATCTAGATCATGCAAAAGCCAAGGTACCAGAAATGTAACTGAAATTGCAGTCTTGTCCTAATGTTTCAGAGAAATTATTCTCTTGAATAAAAGCAACAAAAGCAGCATAGTTTGATGTCAGTGACGGTGGTTGTACAATTTGCATGTTCAACCTCTACATAGTGGAAAGTCTAGATTTCAGTTGGATCTGTTCTAAGCAGGGTTTTAAGAACAGTAGTTAAACCAGACAGAACATTATGCTAGCATAACACAAAACAGTAGTTGTAAAAGAGATTATGCTCATCGAGGTGGTAAGTAATCATTACTTTATAATAAATAGAATAAACTGTTTAACTGTGACTACATCATGAGACAAACAACTAAACAGTTTATTAAAACAATAGTTTTTGGTAAGAAAATACTGAGCACTCACTTGCCAAAATTATGCCTACTCTGCAGGCTATTAGTCTTGTGGTTGCTGGTGATTGTATGTTTGTGGTAATGAGATTCCCCAGTTCAGTTTTGTTTTGGCTAGAGTAAGAAGTAGCAGGTGCCTATTTTTAACATGACTTAATTTTAACATGACTTAATTTTCATGGGTTGGTTAGTACACAGACTGATTTAATTTTTTATTCATTTGTTTCCAGCCGAGAGTGGATCAATACTTTGCTCAAATTAACAAAATAATCCAAGCAAGAATTACATCAGCACGTGTCCGATTCATGATGCAAGACATTGTTGATCTGCGTAATAACAACTGGGTCCCTCGCAGGGAAGACAACAACCCCAAAACTATTGATCAGATCCACAAGGAAGCTGCTGATGCTGCGAAAAAGACACAATTAATGATTCAAATGGCAAAACAAGACAAAAAGCTCAGAGGTGAGTTAAGTTATCTCAAATGTTTTCCTGAATTTATTCAATGAAACATACTGTAGTCACTAATGACAAGGGGTATTAGTTAGGTTTATTTGAAATAAGATAAATTATAATGTTGTGAAACTAGAAATAAACCAGACTAGATATGGTAGCTGCTTTGTTCACTATAGTACATGGCTTAAATAGGTTCTAAGATATTGAAGGCAGTTTGGAAGCAGTCTGAAAGCATTTGCCAAAGCTTTGGTTTTTATTTATGCTGAATATGATAATACAGCTGTGTGAGACAAAGGAATCCAGTGGATTAAGTTTATTGACTGATGTTGTGGTTAATTTTCAGGTAACATGGGTGGTCGAGACAGTCCCAGACCCTCTGGTGGTGTACCACAGGCTGATGAGACTTGGACAACTGTCAGCAGAGGTCCAAAGAATGTGAGCGTGGATCCAAAGAGATTCCAGAACATCAAGGTTATTATTACATTAAATTTAGTGGTGCTATTTGTTTCCCATTGTTCTTGTTAACATGTACAGTAAAAGGAGCGATACTTTATCAAAGATGTATTGTAGCAATCTGTGTTTGTCTTTTCATCCACGGCTATCTTTCCTCCTCTTCAAATTTTGCTTAGCTTTTTTGTGTTTTTCTTCCCTTACAAGCTGATATTTTAAGTGTTGATTCTTTTTGAAGGCAACTTTAACTATTTGAAATGGCTGAAAATACTGCCCTGCAGCTCCTTCAAAATGGTTACATCTTTGCACTGATTGAACAGTACAATTTTGTGAAAAAAGCATGTAATAATATCTTTGAATACAGAGTGGTCCAGGGATTTCATTATAGTTTTCATGTTTCTGTGGTTTTTTTTTTTTTTATTTTTTATTTTTTAATTATTTTTTATCAAAAGCTTTCCAAAACTGAGAAAATGAGAGTTAGTGACTTTCCTTGCATTGTCATGATGAATTTGTTCTTTGGAAAATTATTATTGGGTATTAAACTTCAACAATTTACTCTGCAAGCCAAAGAGAACAATTTAATACTTACTGAATAGAAATGTAATTTCATCCTCCTAAAAATAATATTATTGGAACTACCTGAAGCTATTTGTATTTATAAACCATTGAGACTGAAACTATATCAAGGCTAAGTAATGAAATGAAATATGAGATATGTTATGATTGTGTAGAGTTGTAATGACTGGTTAAAATGCATTTTCACTTTTTCTTTTAGCGCCCAGTTGATTCTGAAAACATCTCACTAGGACCTGGTGGTAAGGGATTTTCATCATGGGCCAGAGGAAGCAGTGGAGGAACAGGAGCAGTAGGGGCTGGGGCTGGTCCATCAGCTGCCTCTGCTGCTCCTCCTGCTGCTTCAGTTGAAGACAATAGACCCACGGGCAACAGGTTAGAAGCTTTGGGTTGAATTTGATAGCTAATAAGCTGTGCCATTAGCCCTTTAATCCCTAAGAGAGATTAGTAACTATCTTCTCCTATCAGCATCACCCCTGAAACAAATATTGAGGTCATGAGAATAAAGGAAATGATCACCAACTAAAGATGCTCTTAATTGTTTTAAAAAAATATCTTAAGAAGTACCATAGAAAATATATAGAGAACAGTATGGACAAAATGTATACTGATGCAAGGGTGTAAAGGGTTAATCAGTGATGTGGCTAGAACCTTGTGGAAACCTTGTTACAACCATAAAACAGGCTGTGACGAGTTTCTCATTTCTCCCAAGGAGTGGATCATCATTTCTCCTTACTGCTTTTTTTTTCCCTTCTTCTTTTTTTTTTAGTTGTGTTTGAGTCAGTGGTGTTGAATGTGTACTTGCTCAGCAGAAATTGTGATGTTTGTGGTTTTGCTAGAGGTTTTACATTTTTGTGGGGTTTTGTGACATTTACACAAGAAAATGACAATTCCTAAGCACAGGTCACAGTGCTCTCCAAAACTGCTGGCATCATCATCCTTTCTTGAGGGCAGTGCTACATTTTGAAGTGCCTGTCATATGCTTTACTAACCTTTATAACCTTTATCCAAGAAAGATGATATCAATTTGAGGTATGTTTTGTTTAATTGTCTCTTAGGTATTCTGCATTGGCAGGAGAGAGAAAGTACTCAGCACCTTCAAGACAAAATTCTGGTGGCTCTGGTCGCCAAGAACCTAGGAGTCCAATGGGAGGTGGAAGGCGAGCACCTTTTGGGGCAGGAGAGCGAGAAAAGGCTCTAGAAGCTGTTCGAGCGGTAACACAACCAAAGGTATGCACCTTGTACCATCAAGCTACTATTTGTTTAAAAGTGATCAACCACTTTCACTTCTCGACAAGGCTAGATTCAACCATACACAGGCAATCATTAGTTGCAAGTTAGTTCTGGAATACATTTTAGAATCACTGTGCAAAATTTTAAGTGTGAAAGAGAGCACAATTCTTTTTTAAAAAAATGAAGAAGAAACATAACAAAAACAGAAAAGGAATTGCTACTATAAAAAGTAATTGCAATTATATGAATGGAAAGATTTTTTACCAGCTGCTACTGTACATGCAACTTACTGCAGGGTTAAAATTCCCTAAAAGGAGAGAAAACAGTGGTTGCAGAGCCAACTTCTCCTTCTTTTTGTTTGACTTCCATTCACTAAAAATATTGAGAATTTAAACATTTTCATTAGAATGCTTTTCTACTTGTAGTCACACAGTACCTGTTTATCTGGTACAGTGTTTTTCTGGTAAAGGTTTTGATTTCTGTGGTTAATTTTTAGCGCAATACCCAAGAACGTGAAGGAGGAAGGGAATCTCCAAGGCTGACACCTGAGGCACCTTCAACTCCAGAGCCCACTTCTGCTTCAGTTTCCCCTGCACCAGAACTCACCCCTGAAGCGATGAAAAAGAAGGCCAAGGCCATTATTGAAGAGTATCTGGATATAAGAGACATGAAGGTAAGTAAGCCTTCCTGGTTGTCAGTTTTCTGTAAATCTTGCTGGTAGTTTACTTCTTCTACAACTTTAGAATGCTTACTCTAGCCCTGAATTCTCACCATGCTTTTACTTCATATTCCTAACCTTTCTATCTCTAAAATGTGTACCTCCCCCCCCCCCCCCCCCCCAAAAAAAAAAAAAATTAATTGATTAATTAAAGAAAGTGACCATGGTTGGAGAAGGAAGGTCTATGTTTCCTGTTGTTTAGTTATATCCTTGGGCTGAATGCTAGTACCTATCTCAAAGTCTCCATTTCACATAGTGCTATATCATCTCGAAAAAAAATAAAGGTTGCACCAAACAAGGGATCAGACTGATTTGCAGTATGTTTCTCAGGGCTACATGCAAATTCAAAGTTTTCAACATTTTTTTTCTTAACATTGTGTGGTTTCCCTCTGTTAGGAAGCTGTTGAGTGCGTTAAAGAACTTCAGTCACCTTCAACACATCATGTCTTTGTGACGGTTGCATTCAACCACACAGTTGAGCAAAAAGAATCAAGTAGAAAGGCCATTGGTAGACTGTTCCATATCCTGCTCCGTGATGGGGTGCTCACAAATGAACAGTACCTCACTGGGTATGTCCCTCTTTTGCTTGTTTTACATCCATGTCCCACCAGTGTTACACAGGGGTCTTCTTAGAGGGTGGGATACAGATAATAAGATATGCAAGAGTAAGTGTCCACTTTTTTCATCATGAACATGAAAATGTCAGCCTCCCTACCTTGGAAGCTAGGTAAACCCCAGCATACATGTAGATTGGTTATATGGTTGTCAAATGAAGATGAGGGTTTTTTTTCCAGCAACATAAGTAATTGTTTGTCCTTGTATGGTCTGTTTTTAAGGGTTGAACCAATCATGAAAAGTGCTGAAGATCTTGAAGTTGACATTCCACTGCTGTGGAAGTATCTTGCCGAGATGATGGGACAATCAGCTTTTGATGGAAATCTGAATCTTGATAAGCTTCTTTTGGATTGTGTCCTAAAATATGTGTCAAAACAGAAAGCTGCTAAACTATTTTTCCACTTGTTGGAGACTGCAGCAAATGACACGGTAAGCCCTTCTTGGCATTTTTTGGGAATCAGTGTCTCAGCACTGGTAAGATTTCTAAATTTCTGTCTCCTCCACCCCTCTTCTCAACACTTTTGCGAGCTTGTGTATAAGTAGGGTAACCAATAGTTTTGCATATTGATTAAACAAATACTAGTCATTGCACATTTCCCCTTGAGGCATGCACAGTATGTCTTTACCTAATTGACCCTCAAACCCTGTGTGATCAGCATCTCATTTGTCCTTATCGTAATACTGCTGAATGATTCTTTTATAACGTGAGACTAAAGGAAATTAATGATCGTCAACCTATGAAGTTTTGATTGTTGAACAGATTCTCCTTTACTTGTCCGTAACAAATGACGTGTGTAGAGGAGATTATGGAGAAAATGGATATTGTTGTTAGGGTGTAAAGGGTTCTTAATATTTCTCTGGAACTTTTTTAATTCGTAGTGCACGGTGTTTATTTTTCCTTTTGTCTCGTTCTAGAGTCGGGAAGATGTGTCTGCCATCTTGAGTAGGTACAATGTCCGGTTGAATGCCTTCTTCGACACTGATGAAGAAGCTATTGAATTTGCCAAGGATAAGGTGCGAAAAATGTTCTGTTTTAGAATTAATATTTTTTAGTTTGTATGGGTTGTTATCATTCATGTTGGTTGAGGTGTGTCTATAACTGCGAAGCCTACAAGGTGTATTTCAATAGCGTACCCCCCCCTCCCCCCTCTCAGAGGACAGAAATTATGTAAATAAATTTAATATCTCCATGTCAGATTTTTTACAGTGGAATAGTGAATTTTCTCTCAATATTCGCTTTTTATTTCCGCTCAATGTTGAATTTGGTGTCTCTTCATTTTTTTTTCTTCTGCAGAATATTGAATTTGCCCTCGGTCAAGTCAGTTCATCACAGAATGTTGGCTCAGCCACACAACATTCTGCAAAAATACAAGAAGAACTTAGGAATCTTATATTGAAGAGAAAGGCCAGAAACGAAGAAGTGTTTGAGTGGATTGACGTAAGTATTAGGTACTGAACTTTGGGTAACTGTTTGTGTCTATTGTAGTTGCGTATCATGCTGATCCAACTGTTTGCTACACAAGGCTCCCCTCTCTTCCCGGCAAAGTCCTGTGGGTTCAGGTGTATTTCTGTATGCAGAAACAATGTACGAAATCTATTTTCTTTGTACAATAGGAACATGTTCCTGAAACAGAAACCAAGGAAGCACCCTTCATTAGAGCTCTTGTAACAGCTGTTTGTGAGGATACAATGGAAAACGGTAACACAGTAGTAGTATTTGGATTGGATGCAGATATAAATGAGATCAATTGCAATGATTGTTAGTATTGATGTGCTTGTGAGTGATGCTTGTGTTGAAAATACTGTAGTTGAAGCATTGTTAAAAGTAAACGTTCAGAGGTAAAAAAAATTCTGTGGGTTCAAATTTTCTCGTTAAACAAGTTTTATCTACATGCATGTTTCTTGTAACTGAGAGAGGTGTACTTGAAAATTTCGTGACAGACTGTTGCAAAGATCAGTAAAAAAAGATCGATTTTATTTTCGTGGTTATTTTTTCCACCTTGTCCATCACAGCTTAGAGTTGTATTGTCTTTGATTTGTACGGAAATGGATAAAATATTTCATATTTTGATATGTTTGTATAACTTATTCGAGTATCTCTCTAACTCTTTTGTTAATCACCCGCCTAACAGAAGATGGAGGACAATGTAAATGCAACGTCAACCATATGAAGGTCAGAAAAAGTCTTCTTCAAAAGTACATCGACGTCAATACGCATCTTGAACTCCAGGCGCTGTTTGCAGTGCAGGCACTCTTTGTACAGCTGGATCATCCGCCAGGTACCAACTTGTTTTCCACAATTTATAGCGGGAAAAGGGGAGGTAGAGGAGGGTGGGGTTTGATGGTAAGGAACCGAGTGTTCTTACAACTAGCTCAGCCTATCCCAGTTTAAGCAACAACATGTGAATTTTGTTGGACTGGCTGCTGTTAATCACAGGTACTCTCTATTATATCGTCAAGTTTCCTAGACATTTTGTTGGTACTGTTTTAAGTTTTCTTGTCCAGAAACACATCACAACGAAAGACACTGGACCCCTCGATCTCGTTCCCGAAGGTGTCTAAAACTGGGCCTCTAGATCTTAACGCTTTCAAATAAAAAGCAACGGCCTTGAAGTTCTCGATGGAATTCTTTTAAAACAGAATAAAATTACGTAGTTAACTACGTGCTGGACAACAATTGAATTCTAAGGTGACCTCTCTCTATTGGTTTTCAGGTTTCATCAAGTCCTATTTTGACACATTATATGACGAGGAAGTCATCACAGAAGATTCATTCAACGCCTGGGAAAGTAGTTCCGAAGAACAACTAGGTAAAGGTGTGGCCGTAGCCGCCAGTTTAGAGTTCTTCCAATGGCTTAGAAGCGCTCCTGAAGAGCCTGCGGAGGAGAGCTGATCCATTCGCCTGATACTGGATTATTTTATCGTAAGATCTACGAATCGGGTCAACTCAATTTGAAAAGAAATGCTTGAGGATAACTTCTTCAACGCCAATGGAAACGGAAAACAAATTTAAACTGAACACTGAATCGGTGCTGAATTTCGTAAGGATATTGTTGACAGAATGCGAGGGATCGTGGAAAATTCGCGAGTACTTCGACGAGATATTTATGGAAGGTTGTGTGAGACCTTTCAATTTAAAATGGTATGCGACTAACGCGTTACCAAAGTCTTGGTATCGCATGTCACATCTGCTGTTTCCAGTGGTGAGCCGATGATCAGTTGTATCATGTGGCGCCTCGGTGGTTGAATTAATTAAGGTTTCTTGCGCGCTAGAGTCGGACAGACAGGTCTGCTGAAGATAAGAAGACTGTAAATACGGCGGAACAAGACTAATAATTATTGTGGAACAAAACAGAAGAATCCATATTTTGTGCCTGGAGAAGAGAAAATTAATAAATTAATGTTTGAATGAATGATTAATCCTTCCGCCTGCTGATAATTGAAACAGAAAGTTCGTTTTCCTGGGGTGCCTGGCTTAGCTCACAACCGGTTGGGTAGACAGGTCCTTGTAAGCAAAAAGTTCTGTTATTGATCAGAACGGTTAGGCCAGACCAATAAAATTCTAGATTTCGTCCTGATTTCATGGTAATTTTATTGAAACCTGTAGTGAACATTTCGAAGAAAAAAAAGAGCGATCCGTTTTTGTCCAGGTTGATTTGTCATCTTCGACAAATGTTAAGCAATAAGGTTCTTGATCTAAAAACTGTTCACACGGCTTGGAATGGGGTTAGGTGGCGTGCGCGGGGTAGGGATGCCTGGCAATAACAACACCACTGCAAAAGTTTGATAACAGCTATCCGATACCTTTAAAAACTCCGATACATTCCTTTCCTTGATATTCAACTTGCTCGCTTGAGTTGACTTCGTCCAGCGTTTGCTTTTTTGTTCTTTGGATACCTTACATCTCGTATCTCGTCGTACTTTCATTTTCAGAGTAAATCACTCGGCAGGCTTTAAGTTTAAGATTAGCATATCCCTCGTTTCTTTTTATCATGGATATCGTTTTTGTTCATTCTTCTCCTACATACTCCGTCTATATCATTTAATTGCGTAATAACAACCTGACCCTGCTACAAGATAGTTCTCGAGAGGTTCCCGTAATAAGGGCTGTTTTCAGCTTTGACGGACTTATTTTACTCCAAAACGATTTCAGCAAATACGTTTAGTAAATGACGCAGAATTTAGTCGTCTTCATGCGTAAAGCCACAATAACGTCCACGCCCTTGTCAACTATTTCGTTGCATCTCACGAATTCACCTTCCTAATATAGCCGATAGCCATAACTGTTCTTTTAACGCTCAATTGCGGAAACGAAATGTCGGCAATCCCTCCTTGTCCAGAATCTTGCAAGTCTTTAATGAAAGTCTACGTGACCAGAGACCCCTTCGATATTTCATTCTATCCAGGCCCCCCTCGGTAAAGTCTACTTCGTTGTTTGGATATGATATGGCGACTAAGGACACCGATCTTAACTTTTTACATCTCCTCTCGACATATCATTTCATTTTCTATTAGTTGAACGATTTTCTTTTCACTCATTATTATTCTATGATCAACTCAGCTATTTGGCGATAACGCTACTATTCCAAAAATATGACTCGAGGGAGTAATTTTCCTAAGAAACTGTTGCTGCGTCGTTGGGGTAGTATAGCAAGGTAACTTAGTATTATCAACTGATTTGATGATATAGATTGGCCGCCGTAAAGAGTTTTTTAAGCTGACGTTTCAAGCGTCAGCCCTTCTTCATACGCACTGGCTGCGATGAATTACTATTTATAACGACAACTTCCCTTTCATAAAGAAAAAAAAGTCCGATTTTCGCTTGTTTGATAGGAGTAACAGGACAACTTATATGGCAATTCCTTAGATAATGAAGGAATTTTCATTTTTATTTATCCATTTTTTTTTGTTTATTCCATCGGAGTTTTACGCAGTCATTCTACAACGATATTTACACTCTTCGAAATTTACCAAGTTCAAAATTAGCCATCATCTGGCCATCCCATTTTGTTTCATAATTGAACGACAGTGACCGAAGAGCCATTCGGTACTTTTCGGTGCGCCTTTCAAAGTCCGTAAACTCATTTAAATTACAAATAGATTTTAAAGGTTAATATTCATATTTTCTATCAGTCTTGCACGTGAGGAGAGCCAAACAAGTTCAAGAAATTTCAGCGTCTTTTGCAGCTTTTCTGCGGCCACAAAACACATCACTTCCTCGTTATAGCCTTAGATACAGTTTGGTCCGTTCTGTCAAGTCCAGCGTGTGTTTCTTCGTTCGAAGTTGCTGAGTGGGGTGGCTCAAATTCGACGTCGAGGATTGATAGAGGTCATTTTGTCTCGAATTCCCCTCAGGTAAGTAAACCAAGTGTAAATACATATTAAATAAAAGTACAGTGTCCTGCCGTTGCCCTCAAAAATAAGTTCAAATTGTAGAGTAGGATACAAAAGGAAAAGAAGACAATAAATGATACAGAGTAAGACAACTCCCCAACTGCAGCCGCCATGACAGTTCTTACTGCGCCACGTGATTTTTGAGCAATGGTGAGAAATTTTTCCTTTGTGGTTAGTTTATTGATAGTTTTTTTATCGCTTTTTATTTCAATTCTCGTTTTTATTCTATATGCAGTCACTTATGCTCACACTATGTCAAAATTGGATTTGTTGTAAACGCTCTTGTTACTTCCCTGACACCCAACCATTGCCGCAAAACCAAACGCGTGATCGTGAAAACGTTTTGACGCAAAATCTTTTAGGAAACCAGAGGACTCAAGTCTCCATCTTAAAAAATGATGCTGTGAATGGCAAAAATTCCCGATTATGTCAAGTTAAGTATAGCACCGAATATTTCGCGCGGGTTCGAAGTCGGATCGAAGCCGTTTTAACCCCGACTGGGTTACCATCATTTGGGTGAGAAAATTCAATCCCAAAATTCCTCTCTCCAGCCAGGAATATCAATAGTTTAAATAGATATCAGTAAACTGTCAGATGAAAGATCTGTCGAAATACTTAAGAGAGCCCATCCAGGAGAAAAAGAGAGGCTCCCTGTATCTTCATGTCATCTTCACGTAACAAATACCGGTAGTAGCGATGGGAGTTATACTGTCGTGTGTAGCGAGTGGCTTTTATCTCGAATCACTTTCAGGGGATTTCGAATGTAACGTTACTTTACTGTCTAAGAATGGTACCTTAATGATCTCTTGTTTGACTTCTTTCGATCTAGACATCAATCTTTGTCATTCACAATAAACTGAAGTACATCTACCTACTAAAGAAGGGTATGCTGGTATTCGAGATAGATTCAAACTATATCTTCTATTTTGGTTCTCTCTTCAGCAGAATGTCAAGCATAGAATGAGAACATTGCAAAATAGGAAATTCGAGGAAGGAAAGAGAATCTTTACAACGTCTAACACGGTCGTAAATCATTTTTTTATTCGGAATTTAGTAACTGCATTTGTGCGTCTGATCTGCTTCGAAGGCTTGGCCCTTTCGCTCCCACGATCACATTAGTAATTCTCTCTACTGTCTTCCATTCGATTATTTTGAAGTTGGTTTGGAGAAGTTGCTATTGGATCAAATGATATCCCCTTGTCGATATATTTTTTTTTACTCTCATCACTTGTCTGCTTGACATTGTATCAATATTGTAAGGAGAAATTCTGTCTTGGTCACTCACGGGAATTAAGGGTTAAACCAAGATTTAATGGACTTCAATCGAAAACTAAAGCAAAAGAAGAATTATCTAATATCTAAGTCTTTAGGGGCTTTTAGTTTGTGAATCATTCCTTTTATTTCTGTCGATGGCAAAACACTGGTGCCAAAGGAATACGTAATTGTTATCATGAATGACAATCCATCTGACCTATCTATTATAGCGGCGGTTTAGCCTATACCAAATATTCCGTTAATTTTGATATGTTTTAAGAGAACACTGATCTTGAAGTTGGGTAAAAAATGACATGTTTATTGCAAGGGTTTGCCTTAAACTATTATTGTCAGGGGGTTTCTCTGATCAAGAATTATCCGTCATGTTTAGATACATTTTTAATTATCACGAGTACTTATCCGAAGAGAGGTGTAAATGTATTCTTATCATGTTTTTTTCTTTTCTCCCGGGGCAGCGTAAAGCATAGAATGAAAGCAATTACTGGAAATCGAGAGTTACATGGGAGGAAAATTAAAAGAAGAGAGTATCATCCAATAAGGTTTGTTTTGCAGTTTGTGTTGACTGTCTAACGTATCTTTAGTTTGCAAGGCTGGTTTGCGTTTAACACCAAAAGACTTTGATTTTGCTTAAGTTTTGATGAACTGTGTGGAAGTCTGCACAGAGTTAAGGTGGCTGGAAACAGTTTTTCCGAGACCCCTACCGACTATATTCAAAACGCTCAAAATCCAACTTTGCCTCTTCGCAGTCGAACTAATTTCGTACACATGTTAACCAATGGATTGAAGTTTGAGATAATGGGCGTGACGCGGCAATCACAATTATTATGCTAACGTTATGGGGAAATCCCGTCAAACAGTGTTTGGGAACGGTCTCGGAAAATCCTCGATAGATTTCCTCACAACTTCTGGATTTTTTTTTTTTTTGAGGTAATGCCTCGCAAGAAATAGTCCACTGGGATATATATTGGAGACAAATACGAAGAACACGAAAAACCTTGCCACGTCTCATACTGATCGCTGGACAATTAGTAATTTTCCATCAAAACTCGAGACTCTTGCGGAAAGGAAATGTCTATTGTTATGAAAGTCAACTGATAGTCTTGAGATTGTTGCTCAATCAATTTCGGATGCTATGATCCAGTCCCCCATTAGTTTGACCCTTCAGCACACCCTGCTTTTCATCACTTAGTATCTTAGTTAAGAATTGACAATATACAAAAGTAGGAGAAACAAACTTTTACAAACGTTACAATATTGCTTTACTAACACCACTATTAAAACTAACAATGCCGCATTCTTAAAATATTTTTTTAATTGGGCTTCCTAGAACCATGGAAAGAGCCAAAACGTGCAAATATATCGTAATCGCGAATCGGAACCTAAATCGAGGAGAAATCATAGACGTGTTTAAAGTGACAGAAGTATTTTGTGCCATTTCTTTTCAAATAATATCTGTGTGCGTTTTATGTTTTTAATCAATATGCTTAATTGGATTTGCAGAGTCGATACAAGAGGATGAAAAAGGGTATCCCAAGAGGATTGGAGAAATGGAATGGAAAACGAACAGAAAGATGAGAGAGAATTCGGCTAATTGTAAGTTGTTTCCATATATTCATTGTTTTGCTTATAATTCAGAGCAAACCATTACAATGGGAGTTTAAAAACATTGCCATAATAATCATTCTTCTGATGATTCTGTCGCTTTTTCTCGTTTTGCTTAGTCCTTGTCATAAAACCACACATTTCAAACACTTAATTGATTTCATAACAAAGTGTCATAGTAAGTTGACCTGCATTTAGAAGATTTGCTACAAATTAAAGAAATTAAAGAACAATTGACAAATAAATACATTAACAAATAAGCAGTTTACAAAAAGGTATTTATATAAGAGCAATAGAAAACATAAAATTTGATCAATTTGATTTAATTTTGCAATCTTTAAGTTAAAAAATAACAATTTCAACATTGAGGAGGAATTTTCATTTTCCAGAATTTTAAAAAAAGATTGATTCATTTCTTCTTTAGTGTTTTTTTGATCAATTTGATTTAATTTTGCAATCTTTAAGTTAAAAAATAAAACAATTTCAACATTGAGGAGGAATTTTCATTTTCTAGAATATCAAAAAAGATTGATTCATTTCTTTTTTATTTAGTGTTCTTTCTATAAAGTTTTATTTTCATTCCAATATCTCATTCCGAATTAAAGCCAGTTAAATTAAATCAGTTAAAAGGTCATTTCCAACTGATACATGCAATGGAAGATATGTGTAATGTTAGAACTTCGAAGAAACCATTACAGCGAGAATTGTAGTTGGACCGTTTAGGTATTCTGATGATTTCAGCGTTTTTTCTTGTCTTGTTTTTGTCAAACTCGAAGGATATTCCAGATTGTTACGAAACTACAAAAGTGGAAAATCATTACTATTGTAAGTTACGTTTTAATATTTGAGAAAAATTTCAAGGAATGTTCGCCAGCGCCGAAATAATTAAGGAAAAACATTTTTGTGGTTAAAAGTTACCTATCAATTTTCTAATAGAGAAAGAAAGGCTCAGAAAACAAATTGAGCTGATAAACCCAGTTAAAAGGTTATTTCAAATGAAAAAAAATTCATGAATGGAAAAGTTTCTGAATGTCGTAAAAGCTTCAATTAGTCAATCAATAACAACCACTGAGAATTGTTTCAACTTCGACAATTTACGTTCTAAATGAAGCCCTTTCATGAGAGAAAGCATGTGCAAAATATAAGTATTTAAAATTCTTCAATTGCTCCAAACAGATAAGGAGAACTAACAGAAGATTTCCTAGCCTAAAAAATTTACTTCATAACTGTGACTGTCTTTTTTAATATGAATTGATCGTTGGTTATTTTTATATGGATGAAATTTCACGCCGACGCATCTTCTCTTTCAGAACGCATCTTCTCTCCATCATAAGATAAAACTTTTTAGGCAAATTAAATGCCTCAGAACAAAGAATGTGAGGGCTTTCGAGGACGGTAGAAGAACTTGTCCCTAATGTTTTCAATTAATTTTTAAAGTATCAAATCAACTTTTGAATAACAAAAACACATAATAATGAAAATATTTCTACAAATACGCACCCTTATTCTCTCTATTTCCGGCCATCCTCCGCTTAGCAAGGGCTTAAAAACTTACGTGGGAATACCTCTGTGAACATACTACAGTACCACAAAGAGGACTGGCATTTTAATCGACAAATGGGAAAATTGCAACTCTGTTTTTTTTTTCTTAAAAATCAGAAAAAATTTTTTTTTGTTTAAATTTGGATACAAAGTTTTCATATCAAGGAGATCATTTGAACATTAACCAATTTCCGGGCGATGGAAGTTCACTCTAACCAACTGTTTTAAGTATTAATCATCAACGACCTTTTTATCAGGTGAAAAGTGTCGGAAGAAAATTTCAAATGAAATTAGTGAAGCAAAGTAATTTGCTCGATGTTTGATGTGTTGGAGGATTTGCTTGCGAACAAACCTTGATTAGTCTCCTTATTTTATAGAGTTAGAAAAAGAACTGTGGAAATAACAAATATATTCATTGAATTTCTCTCTTCGGCGACCCCCCTACGGGTTGATTTCCTTCAACAACCGCCTTTCCAGGGAGGGCCTGAAACATTCCCACGCTACCTCTCCAACCCTTCTCTTTTCAATTCTGACGATTTGAAAAAAGTGTTTTTTAAATACAAGTGAGTATATAAATTTTTTTCCTTTTTTTTTCCTTTATTATTTCAAAACAAGTTTGTTTAAGGAAAATTAATTATTTAATTATTTTTCAACCAAGAAAAAAGGTTTTTAACTCGGAAATATCCTCTTTTAATTTTGTGTTTTTTTAAACGAAAACTAAGATTTCCAATCAGGAAAAGGTGCATATTTATCCCACCAAACTGTTGCTAAGTCGTTCCCATAATTCTCCAACATCCCTTAAAGGCATCAGCTCTGGCTAGCTCCCCATTCAGGAAGGACCTATTACTTCATTATATCATTAACCTCCTTCATCTCTGCAAGCATGCTCGGCTACAACAGTTTAGATAGAACAAATGTAGTGTTGGCAAATGTTTCTATACATGTCTAGAATTTGAAAACAAAGTTCTTCTCTGCATGTCGTGTGGTATTGATAAGGATACGGTTTCTAGCTTTGCAAAAAGAATTCTCGACAGAGAGATAATGATGAAGTTGTTTTCGAATTAAACCTTTTTCTAAAAAAAAGTCGATTTGATGTTCCATCTTGTACAGCAAAATAAAGTCTACATCGTTATCATTAAAGATTCCCGGTGAATAGAGATTATTCCACGGAAAGTGCGCACGAACGACTTTTATATTATATCATATTATACAAATACAAAGAAATCATGATAATTAGGAAAAGGAACTACTGAAGCTGAAATATTTCTTAAATGGGAAATTCAATGAAAAAAAGGAATTCGTGTTCAATTTTGGACCATATTGAAGAGAATAGAAATCACTTGGAAATCAAGCAATTCACTTTAATAAAACCATGAAGATATTTTTGCAACAAATAAGACAGAATTGAACTCCATAATGACACATATTTTAACGTTATGAATCCTCTATCAGGTAAATTTTTAAACAAAAGGAGACCTAAAGAGTAAAATTTAAAAATGAATTTAAGACAGAAATTTGTTAGTTTTCAGGGAAAAAAATCAGTTTCCATTTATGTGTAAATCTTGCAAGAAAGGTTTCAGTGTGTTCCTCTGGTGCTTTGTTTATTAGCCAATCTGTCTATCACAGAGAGAAGATATTTTTGTTTTGAAATAAATTTGAGTTTATCTTATTGACATTACCTAATTTCTTAAGGATAAAATTTAACTCTTACAGCAGACAAAGCGAAAAAAGTGTCCATCATCAGACAAATTTGAAACAAACGAGAAGTCTCTAAGAAAAAAGGATGAATGCCTGACTTCATTGATTTTTTTTTCCCAAAGATTTTCTTCTTTTATTGAGTTTACTTTTGCTTTTTATTTGCCATGGTGGATAATGCACATTACTTGGCTCGTTCGAGAACCATATCCTCTCTCGAACGTTAATCTTTAAAGGAACAGATATTATTTGATTTTTTAAGAGCATCGAGAATTTTTTTCTGAAAAGCAAAAAGAAAAAAAAAACTCAAAAGAAAATTCTCGAACCTCTTAAAATCAAATCAATTTCTGCTCCTTTTAAGATTAAAAGGAAAAACAAAAGCGACCGACGGGGCCTTACACCCCTTGGAGTTGCTTGAACAACTTAAATTAAACGACGGCGGGGATACGGCCGTCGTTTAATTTGAATTATGAAATGTGCACTACCGCTAGACCACAGAAGCTTTTGGTAATAGAATATGGCAAAATTACACTAGAAGTAGGTTCGCTCCCATTGTTGTAGAACAATAGGTTGTGCATTGCGATTGATTCTGGTTATAATCACCCTTCTGAAACCTGTAATTATATTGTGTTCACCATCCATTCTTGTTTTCTTTTTTGCAGGTTGCTTAAATTTCATTATTGAAGAAAGAAACGAGAGGAAATTTCCAGGGCTCTGCCTATTTAATTCAATAACAAGGATTGTCAAGTACAGTACAAAAAATTTTTACTCCTACTGTGAGCAGCGAAAATAAATGTTGAAATTTTATTCAAGTGTTACTTTACTAGTAAATATTTTGTAGAAATCAAATTATAAGTGAGTAAGTCGATAAGGTTTTCAGGGATCGTCGTAGAGAAATCAAAATGTCTTTAAAAATGTGATTTGTTCAAAGTAATTTACAAGTTTATTCCAAAAGTGCAAGTGAAAAATTGTTCAAAAATATGTCATTCTAGCAGTGGTAGTGTGACTGAAAATTCGTTTTAAAATCCCTCAAAGTTCAACAGTAGTAGTGAAAATAAAAAATTAGTTTTATACTCCGTCGAAGTCTAATAGTAGTAGTACTATTAAAAAAATATCGTTTTAAAATCTGTACAAATAAAAATTGTTCAAAGTCTAGCAGTATCAGTAATAATAAAAAGTTGTTGAAAAATCTGTAAAAGCACTAATAAAAAGTAGTTCACGAATCAGTCTTGCAGTAGTAGTAATATAAATAAAACGTTGTTAGAAAAATCATTCAAGGTTAATCAGTACTAAGAAACAGTTCAAATAGTAGTACTCAGAAAAAGGAAGTACAAAACATCAGTCAAAGTCTAGCATCAGTAGTACTAAGAAAATGTAGAGCAAAAATCTGTCAAGGTTTAGCAGTAGTTCGACTAATAAAAAGGAGTTCAAAACATCAGTCAAAGTCTAGTAGTCGTAGTAGTGCTAAGAAGAAAGTAGCTCAAAACATCAGTCATAGTCTAGTAATCGTAGTAGTGCTAAGAAGAAAGTAGCTCAAAACATCAGTCAAAGTCTAGTAGTCGTAGTAGTGCTAAGAAGAAAGTAGCTCAAAACATCAGTCAAAGTCTAGTAGTCGTAGTAGTGCTAAGAAGAAAGTAGTTGAAAACATCAGTCAAAGTCTAGTAGTCGTAGTAGTGCTAAGAAGAAAGTAGTTGAAAACATCAGTCATAGTCTAGTAGTCGTAGTAGTGCTAAGAAGAAAGTAGTTGAAAACATCAGTCATAGTCTAGTAATCGTAGTAGTGCTAAGAAGAAAGTGGCTCAAAACATCAGTCAAAGTCTAGCAGTCGTCGTAGTACTAAGAAGAAAGTGGTTCAAAACATCAGTCGTAGTCTAGCAGCAGTCGTAGTACTAAGAAGAACGTAGTTCGAAACATCAGTCGTAGTCTTGTAGTCGTCGTTGTGCTAAGAAGAACGTAGTTCGAAACATCAGTCGTAGTCTTGTAGTCGTCGTTGTGCTAAGAAGAACGTAGCTCGAAACATCAGTCGTAGTCTTGTAGTCGTCGTTGTGCTAAGAAGAACGTAGCTCGAAACATCAGTCGTAGTCTTGTAGTCGTCGTTGTGCTAAGAAGAACGTAGCTCGAAACATCAGTCGTAGTCTTGTAGTCGTCGTTGTGCTAAGAAGAACGTAGCTCGAAACATCAGTCGTAGTCTTGTAGTCGTCGTTGTGCTAAGAAGAACGTAGCTCGAAACATCAGTCATAGTCTAATTGTAGTAAGTAGTTAAGAAATCTGTCAAAGTCCATCGGTTATATTACTACGAAAAAGTACTTTTAAAATCAGTCAGTCTGGTAGTGGTAATGGTAGTTAAAAAATCAGTCAAAGTCCAGTAGTAGTAGTACTAATAAATAGAGGTTCAAAAACCAGTCAAAGTGTAGCAGTAGTAGTACTAATAAACAGTTGTTCAATAAAACTTTGCAAGTCAAGCTGTAATAGTGTAAGTGAAAAGTCGGTCAAAATGTAGAAGTAAACGTGTAAGTGAAAACTAGTTCTCTCATCTGTCAAAGTGTCCATCAGTCTAGTTTTTTACTGCAAATGAAAGGCTCAAAACATCAGTCAGTATAGTCTAGCAGTCGTAGTAGTGCTAAGAGGACGGAATAGTAAACATCAAAAACAAAACATCAGTCAAAGTCTAGTAGTCGTAGTAGTGCTAAGAAGAAAGTAGTTGAAAACATCAGTCAAAGTCTAGTAGTCGTAGTAGTGCTAAGAAGAAAGTAGTTGAAAACATCAGTCAAAGTCTAGTAGTCGTAGTAGTGCTAAGAAGAAAGTAGCTCAAAACATCAGTCATAGTCTAGTAGTCGTAGTAGTGCTAAGAAGAAAGTAGCTCAAAACATCAGTCATAGTCTAGTAGTCGTAGTAGTGCTAAGAAGAAAGTAGTTCAAAACATCAGTCAAAGTCTAGTAGTCGTAGTAGTGCTAAGAAGAAAGTAGCTCAAAACATCAGTCAAAGTCTAGCAGTCGTAGTAGTGCTAAGAAGAAAGTAGTTCAAAACATCAGTTATAGTCTAGTAGTCGTAGCACTAAGAAGAAAGTAGTTCAAAACATCAGTCAAAGTCTAGTAGTCGTAGTCGTGCTAAGAAGAAAGTAGCTCAAAACATCAGTCATAGTCTAGCAGTCGTAGTAGTGCTAAGAAGAAAGTAGTTCAAAACATCAGTCATAGTCTAGTAGTCGTAGTCGTGCTAAGAAGAAAGTAGCTCAAAACATCAGTCAAAGTCTAGTAGTCGTAGTAGTGCTAAGAAGAAAGTAGCTCAAAACATCAGTCATAGTCTAGTAGTCGTAGTAGTGCTAAGAAGAAAGTAGCTCAAAACATCAGTCATAGTCTAGTAGTCGTAGTAGTCGTAGTAGTGCTAAGAAGAAAGTAGTTCAAAACATCAGTCAAAGTCTAGTAGTCGTCGTAGTACTAAGAAGAAAGTAGCTCAAAACATCAGTCATAGTCTAGCAGTCGTAGTAGTGCTAAAAAGAAAGTAGCTCAAAACATCAGTCATAGTCTAGCAGTCGTAGTAGTCCTAAGAAGAAAGTAGCTCAAAACATCAGTCATAGTCTAGTAGTCGTAGTAGTGCTAAGAAGAAAGTAGCTCAAAACATCAGTCATAGTCTAGTAGTCGTAGTAGTGCTAAGAAGAAAGTAGCTCAAAACATCAGTCAAAGTCTAGTAGTCGTAGTAGTGCTAAGAAGAAAGTAGCTCAAAACATCAGTCAAAGTCTAGTAGTCGTAGTAGTGCTAAGAAGAAAGTAGTTGAAAACATCAGTCATAGTTTAGTAGTCGTAGTAGTGCTAAGAAGAAAGTAGCTCAAAACATCAGTCATAGTCTAGCAGTCGTAGTAGTGCTAAGAAGAAAGTAGCTCAAAACATCAGTCATAGTCTAGTAGTCGTAGTAGTGCTAAGAAGAAAGTAACTCAAAACATCAGTCAAAGTCTAGTAGTCGTAGTAGTGCTAAGAAGAAAGTAGCTCAAAACATCAGTCAAAGTCTAGCAGTCGTAGTAGTGCTAAGAAGAAAGTAGTTCAAAACATCAGTCATAGTCTAGTAGTCGTAGTAGTGCTAAGAAGAAAGTAGTTCAAAACATCAGTCAAAGTCTAGTAGTCGTAGTCGTGCTAAGAAGAAAGTAGCTCAAAACATCAGTCATAGTCTAGCAGTCGTAGTAGTGCTAAGAAGAAAGTAGTTCAAAACATCAGTCATAGTCTAGTAGTCGTAGTAGTGCTAAGAAGAAAGTAGCTCAAAACATCAGTCAAAGTCTAGTAGTCGTAGTAGGGCTAAGAAGAAAGTAGCTCAAAACATCAGTCATAGTCTAGTAGTCGTAGTAGTGCTAAGAAGAAAGTAGCTCAAAACATCAGTCATAGTCTAGTAGTCGTAGTAGTCGTAGTAGTGCTAAGAAGAAAGTAGTTCAAAACATCAGTCAAAGTCTAGTAGTCGTCGTAGTACTAAGAAGAAAGTAGCTCAAAACATCAGTCATAGTCTAGCAGTCGTAGTAGTGCTAAGAAGAAAGTAGCTCAAAACATCAGTCATAGTCTAGCAGTCGTAGTAGTCCTAAGAAGAAAGTAGCTCAAAACATCAGTCATAGTCTAGTAGTCGTAGTAGTGCTAAGAAGAAAGTAGCTTAAAACATCAGTCATAGTCTAATTGTAGTAAGTAGTTAAGAAATCTGTCAAAGTCCATCAGTTATAGTACTACGAAAAAGTACTTTAAAAATCAGTCAGTATGGTAGTAGTAATGGTAGTTAAAAAATCAGTCAAAGTCCAGTAGTAGTAGTACTTATAAATAGAGGTTCAAAAACCAGTCAAAGTGTAGCAGTAGCAGTACTATTAAACAGTTGTTCAATAAAACTTTGAAATTCAAGCTGTAATGGTGTAAGTGAAAAGTAGGTCAAAATGTAGAAGTAAACGTGTAAATGAAAAGTAGTTCTCTAATCTGTCAAAGTGTCCTTCTATTTTTACTCAAATGAAAGGGATTTGTAGTATAGCTGCAGTGTTAGTAAGAGGACGGAATAGTAAACATCAAAAACAATACGATATAAGTCACAGTCTCGGCTCAAAAGTTTATTTTTTATTTGCAAATGTCTTGAACCTCCTTCTTGTCAGTGTTCAAACCTTAAAGAGATCGAAAACAGATATTTAATTTTGAAAGATCACCACAACAATCGCTTACAGAGTTAAACTACAAATCTTACTTGGGAAAAATCTAACACTTGAAAGTACCATTGAAAATGCCAATTAAGTGTTTTATGTTAATTCTGGTTTGCACACTTTTCTCGGTCTCTCGTGTAACCCTTTGCATTAAACTCATAATAATTATTTCTTAATCCGAATTTTGACCTTGAGTGGCCAGAACTATTTTGGGCTGGAAAATCTTACCATAAAGTCAAAGAACATTTATTTAGAGGAGAACAAATTAAGTCACGTCAAGCTCGAAACGTTTCGCGCATACGAAGAAATTCCAATCATGCGCATATTAAACATTCCCACGAGGGTGATACGTGTACTGGGTAAAACCTATTGTTTCTCTTAACAATGGGAGCGAACCTACTTCTAGTGTAATTTTGCCATGTCCTCTTACCAAAAGCTTCTGTGGTCTAGCGGTAGTGCACATTTAACATGTCAAATTAAACGGCGGCTGTATCCCCCAGCCGTCGTTTAATTTAATTGTTAAAGCACTTCGGAGGGGCTCAGGCCCCGTTGGTCAGTATTCTTTTTCTTTTTAATCTTTAAAGAAGAAGAATTTTATTTAATTTTAAGATCTCCGAAAATTTTTTTTCGAGGATTTTTTTTTCTTGAGGAAAAAATTCCTAGAAAAAAAATTTTCTCGAAAAATCCTCGAAAAAAAATTTTCGGAGAGCTTAAAATTAAAAAGATTCTTATTGAAAGAGTAAAAGAAAATTTATAACTTGGAATAAACAACAGCAAGGTAAAATGGCCGCCATGTCGTGCGCCGAAGTCATACACAAAACGTAGAGGAACACAGTTACCAAAGTGATTAAAATAAGAAATCCATTAAAATAACTGGAGAACGAGAGGATCTTTGCATTGTTTCTGGTATAAATAGTACTTCAGTAAAGGTACAAATGAGTTCTAATTTAAGCAAAATTGGACAGGGATCAACTTTGGAAAATAAATTATTAAGAAAAACAGTTGGTTC